GCGAGTAGGTAGTCGACTGAGATGCAAACTGTAGAAGTGAGTGGCGTTATGCTGGAGAACTCCCCTCCATTTATTATTTTGAAAATGAAACTTTCACTCTAACTCGATCTCGTGTTTGTTGTTATTATCAAGTGGAATGTGATGCCGCTAATGATAATGCGGCTACACCGGGAGCCAGATGCGCCACAGTTCTCGTCTTTGTTGCAGCTGCATATGTATCGATAATTTTTTCACGGGTGAGGAATTGGCAGCGGAAATGAGCAGGCTGGACAACGAATGCAACAAAAAGGCGATGGAGAACAAGATGAACGGAAGGCCGCAGTTCGTCTTCCTAGCGCATTTTTCGCCGCCAGACGGGCAGAAGGCTGCTGACATTTACTGCGACTGGGCGCCAGAAGCAGGCCGGTTGCAGTTTAAGTTTACGCCACTGCTACCTCTACCACCAGGAAAGTCCTCGCCGCCAGTGCCACAGCCACCGGGACACAACCCACCGCAACTGTTTTCGCCTCATTCACCCGGTGCTTTTCTAGAAGGCTTTCGGGCGACGCTGTTCAATGCAGTTGCGGGAATTTTTACACCATTTAGGAGGAAAAGCTCTCGTACGGATTCTGGCCATGGTGTCTATCAAGTCGTTGCTGTCGCGGAACCCGGAGAGATTGACGGCGCAAACAACGAAGGCGCACTGCTGGTGCGCACATTGCGGAAGCCGACTGCGGCGTCTGAGTCGTACCGTTCGCTCTTTTGCAAAAAGATGAGCTTGCAGCGTGAAGAAATTAACGCCAGCGAGTGCGCGGCCGCAAAGATTTTCGTGGACAACTGGAGGAAAAACGGCGAAGACACGGGTCAATACGTGGGAGAGGCCTACAACGTCGCGACCCCGTTCTGCACACGTTTGCGGCCTGCGGTCGATTCGGGAAAGCACGAGGCGCTTTGTGCAGATGCCATGAATGCTGTAACGTCGAGCAGCCTCCTGGCTGAGTTCGAGTCGACGACGGACGCCGCCAGCAGTGGCGAAGCGTCACACAATGCATTGTGGTGGACTTGGGAAAGCAATCGCGTCCTGAAGGAAGTTGGATTTTTCCACCGAGACATCACAGATGAGAATTGGCTTCGCTCTTCACCTCCAGCCGCCTTCTTGATAGCCACCGACATGGGCGTGGCGTGCGCGACAAGTCAAAAAAGCGAGGGCAACGTCGTGCCCTGTCAAAAGTGGACATTTGTTGGCACGCCAGTATTCGTTTCCCCAGATCATTTGATTTTCCCGTTTGGCTCCGACTACAGCGACTGCAAGGACTTCGGAAACAAAGTATATAGTCCGAAGCATTCGATTGCAGTCCACGCGGCCAGAGGAGACTCCTTCAGCTGGGCGGCCACAGTCATTCAGGCCGCTGCGCCCAAGTACTTCAGCAACATCGTCCTTGACTTGCTGGGACTTAAACGCCTTACCCGTTTCGAATTATTGCTCCTTTATGTTGTGTCACTCACACTGACTCTATCACAAATTGTTATACGTCCTGAGAAAACTTTAACTTGTGTAGACCGTCCCTCACAGGTAGGCGCATATCCTAAGCTCATGCCCCAAAAATCAAGAAACCCGACATGACGTCACCTCTAATTCCAAGGAGGAAGAAGAGCATATGAGCTGATTGGGTTGCGAATGCTACTAGGCGAAGCGGCCTGTCCAAGTTCAATTTTGATTATGAGTTGAGAGCGGCTTTCGCTGTAGGGGTTTTGTTCAATCACAACTATACCAATGCCTAGAAGTGTTTCAATTTCAAATCTAAGCCCTTGAAAAATCAAGCACCCCAAGCATGATGTGCTCCCTTTCTTTCATATAGCTGGAGATTAGTACTGCAGCGAGCCGGATTGCCGCGCCTGGAGCTTCGTCCCCGACGATCTCACCCGCGGGCGAAACGCTGAAAAAGTTATGGTGCGTTAGTACTTAGTAGATAGCACGGTCGCGGATGGAACTGGGGCGAAGTAAATAAGCTCCGTCCTCATTATCAGAATAATATCAACTAAAATAAGTTGTGCTGGTTTTCAAGAAATGTTGATGTCGTCGATCGAATGGTCACCGGATTCGCAACAGCTACAACGAATAACTCCTGAAGCTAATAAAGATTTAGATTACATTATATTTTCTTAGCGTGAAATATGCTGGAAGCTCTTACAGAATTCGCATACTTAAAGCGTTAGACTTTCCTAGCATGGTGCAGGAGAGTTCTTCTTGAAATGATTTTTTGGTGATTGAGTTTATTTCTTATGTCCCATTTTTTTTAGTGAAGTTCGTTCGCGACGTCTGCCATCGTGGACGGATGAGTGAATTTTGGTGCATATTGGTATTGTTCTTGGTGTTCATTTTTTTTCTTCTATCCAAAAGAACCTCAAGGATCGCCTCACTTCTGTGTCATTGCGTTTACATATTGACTAGCTACCATTGACAAGGACAAGGCTTTTACTGAGTCATATGCCTACTTCCAAAATATGAGGTAAAGTTCGGGTTTGGAAGAGGTAGGTGCTTTATGGTAGTTTTGCACTTTTGAGTCTTTGCATTCTACATCAACCATCGATCCGGCATCTTTTCGACCTTTCTTCTTGTTTTATCAAGAACGCGATGCAGCAGAGCATCGCTGCAACAGGCAGTGGCGAAGAGAAGGCCGATTCCTTGGGGGAGACGGATGAACAGAAAAAAATAAGTACTTGTACTGCGAATTTTATTTTGATCCGTATACCGCTACTGCTAGTACATATTGGTGACTTTCCTAGCATCAATATTACTAACTTATTATCTAATAACCTCCAGTCATCAGTCATGGGGAGGGTGAAACTCTGCACGCATCTGCGTGTGTGAGAATGGGTGAGACAAAGGCGGGCGCAATCACGTATTTCTCAAGGACAGCTACAAAGTAGACACTGCTAGAAGTAGCACGAAAGTCATACAGCGAGCACGCGCGTGCATATTACTTCTACAATATTTGCAACTTCCACTCCTGTTTTCTCGTCACAAGATATTCGCTTATTCGTCTCCATCTTTAACTCCCACACAGGAGCAGAAGCGAATAGTAATATCCTGCGGGCGCTTGAAGCCACGGAACTCAAGCCGCTGCCGTATGGAGGCTCAGAGAAGGGGCCCATCCCAGCGATTGAGCTTATGGCGCAAATACTACTTGGCAACCCATGGAATTTGGATCAACATAGCTATAAAAGTCTTCTTTACACCTGGACCTCGGCGGAGGATAGCGATGACGCGGAAGTAAAGGCAGCTGCAGTGAAACTCTGTGCGCCTCCTCCTCCTCCTTCGGAAGAGCCGCCACATGTTCCCTTGCCGACTTCAGTTCCTCTTCCAAGCTTCCCGAAAAAGCCTCAGCCTTAGCAGACACAACTTTTACGAAGATCCTTAAGCGATTAGATGATATCTGCGGTATGTATAATACATACTATGTATAAAAAGTCTTTGAAGAAGCCTGACTCCTGTAGTTGCTCCATTATCTGTATGTAGAGAGAAGACGTTATGGATACAGAGGACGCGGAAATGTGTACGTGCATCTGTAAAGAAGACTGCACTTTTTTGCTGAGACTTGTTGATTGCGTGGATTGATTTGAAAAGTAATGGTAATCTTTCTAATGCAACTCCTTCCACAATAAACATAAAGTAGTCTTAATCTCTCTAATGCAACTCCTTCCGGTGCTGATGTTGCGGTCGGACGCGGAGGGGCTATCGACCCGGGAATTTTATGAGAAAAGAGCCAGTTGAAGATGTAGGCGCGAGGGGTATATGTAATTATGGCCAAGATGATGAGAAAGAGAATATGAAATTGAAGAACTGCTACTACAACCATGTGAAAACTGAACCAGAACCAGCTTCGAAATCATTAAACAAAAGGATGCCCAGTCACTCGTAGCTCCATTGAACGAAAATACTAGTAGAAGTAATGGCACAAGCACAACTGGTAGCAAGAGGCAGGTAAAAATTTGGGATGTATGGAGAATGGCTAGAACTAAAAAGTATGAGATGCGTCCGTAAAAAGAAAGCGGATATTATATCTGATGAACAATAAGTAATAATTACTTATATGCACTTATGAAAAGACGAAGCAGTGCAACTCTCAACGCACTTATGAAAAGACGAAGCAGTACTGTTGTAGGACAGAAAAACGAAAAGAAAGCTGTCAGAAGTCGAAGAATCAATAGCAGTTAGGTTCCCGTGAAGATATGAAAAAATACAGAGACATCTGCAATACTTACTAGGATTAAATTGAATGATGATTGAAGATGAAAACCCCGGCAAGTGTCGGAAGTAAAAATAAAGAGTCATTTAGAGAAGTCAGGCAAAGATAAAGACACTCTTCTTGTTGGCTAAGTAGTCTGTTACTGTTTCGCGCTCAAAGTCAAAAAAACCGAAGTGAGGATATGTTTATGCGTCAGTCTACCTGTGAGTTAAGAAACCGTACAAACGTACGCATAGCCATAGTCTTTTTACTCTCATGGATGTACAGAACACCGATGAAGATAAACGTGATTCATATGCATAGTGAGGTAGGAATAGAACATCGCCTGGCATCAGAGTAAAAAGGCAGTGACAATAATTAGACGTTAGTTTCAACTTCAAGATTCGAATTGACCAGCAGCAGTTGTAGTGCCAAATTCTCTCATCCTTGCGATGTGGAAAAGTTTCAGATTCAGTTTCACAGAGTAAAGCCACTAGTCCAGAGCCCGCATACGCTTACGCATGGGGCGCGTTTACTACGCTTCGTGTTTCTTCGTTGGCTTTTGGAGAATCCTTAGGCCCCTGCGTAACTTCAGACATTGACTCCGAAAGTATAACTTTGTGCGGCTGCAGATGTACCGCCAGGAGTTGGAGGCACTGCTGCAAAATGGCTAGACCGAGACACTCTGCAAACTGCAAACTGCGAACCACACGCATGAGAAAACTTCAAGAGTCCACCTCAGTAGTTGCTTGTGGTTGTGCAGGACGAGACTTGTGAGATGATTGCTTCTGTTGTAAAATTTTGAACTACTGCGACGTATCTGTCTCTGTGTGGCCGTGTCTGTGAATCTGACCTAAGTGACATTTCCAGGAGAGAGAGCGACATCTGTAGAGAGGCACTTTACGTAGTGGTCATCCTCGAAATTCCTCCAATACTAGCCTATCTTTTCTTATTTTCATTTTTCACCTGCTGCATCCAAAATTTGCTTTACCACCATGTTAACGATGTTGAAGAAGCCTGCAAATAAACAAGAAACCAAGTGGCGCAATTGCATTGTATGTCATACAGACATAATGATGTATACATCATAATGATGTATAGGAAAAAAAGATGAAAAAATCTAGAAGCTAGAAAACATGTCGATCTAGAGGATTCGGCTCTAATTTTGTACATTTTTCTTTACCAAGGACAGACTGCATTTTTACCATAGTGTATCTGCGACAGAGATTTGTTTGATTCAAAGCAGGAATCTCTACTATGATCCTAGTCAGCATCATCTTTTTCTTTTTTCTTTCAGAAGACAGATGCCAAGTAGGAAGAAAACGCAACGAAAAACTTCATATTGTCGGCGCAGGGATATTGTATGACTTCTGACAAGAGCGCTCGCACATCATAAAGGATTTTTGTTGGAAATGTTGTGACGAGATCAAATATGACGCGATCTACTTGTTGGTGAAGATCGCAACGAAAAACTTCATATTCTCGGCACAAGCCAGGGAAAGCGATATTATATGGCTTGTTTTTGACGCGAGTAGCCGCGTAGTCGTAGAGTAAACGCATAGGCCTAGAGTAAATGCGTACTCGTAGGAGCGGCTCCTTCTGCGTTCTGCTGACCGCACGCGCAGCTGCGTCGCGCTCAACAGGGCGTTTGTGCGTATCGCTTACGTCACGCATGCAGGTGCAGAGCGCTCCTTAATATGTCGCGCTTACGTCCGTCTTTCGGCACGACTTCTGCTTCGCACTTAGCTGGTGACTCTTTCGGCACGACTGCTTCGCGCTTACGTCGCGCATGCAGCATGTTTGCGTCCGCCTCATCGCACACAGACGTCACGCTTAAAACACGTCGCGGCTACGTTGGTTCCTCGCGCCACCCCAACATAATAGAAGACTTATAGGCAGACCTAGCAAGGCAGAGGACACTCAGAAGCAGAAGCAGAAATTGTAGTCCTTACTTAGAAGTAGTACGTGGAGCGCTGAGGCTGACTGCATATTAGCGTGTTGAGGTTAAGAGGACCAGACGAAGAGGATGGCCACATCCGTTTCTAAGCCCCTTCGGGTTTTATGGACGTTGTTATTCGGTTTCTAGTAGGTGTATGGTATCCGTATCTTTAAGATAATAACTTTTTGTCGGCCCCAAGGGGGACATCGGTGACATATTTCAGCCATCGTAAGATAATATGTGACTTGAACCTGCTGCAGGAGAAAGACCTGAACCTAAGACCTTGAGGACTTTGATGTGAGTCCAAGTTATGACTATTTCAGTAGCTGTTTAGATTTTTTCACATCCAGGCAGAGTAAGAATTTGGTACCTCTAAATACTTATCTTGAGTCTGCTAAACAACATCGATTTTGACGGCATGGCGTGAAAACCACAACCATAACCATCGACATTGAGTGTCGTCGACGTTTGAGTGTCATCGACATTGCAGCATTATGGGCTTAGGGTTAGGGAGAAAGGCATAGGGGGACGTTACTGTGTGAAGAATCATAGGAGGTTGAGAGTCATGCGCGTGCGGGAGTGTTGCTGTGTGAAGAGTGCTAGGAGGCTGAGCATCATGATCAACGTTACCATGTGAACGTAAACAGCAATCGACATCGCAACACAACCTGCATAGGATTAAGGCTACCTTTAGGGGGGCACGTAGAGGAGGTCGCTACCTCGAAGGATTCGTTAAGCGACTCCCCTTCCATGACCCCACCAGAAGTAAGCTCTAACAACATTGGCGCGCCAACGTGAATAGCCTCGGACGTTGCAACAAAAATTGCATAGGTGGAGAAAATGAGTGCGCCAGGTAGTGGAGCAACAGCCGACGGGGGGAAGGATGACCCGGATGGTGAGGAGCTGGAAGTCAAGGCTGATGGCGTCTCCTACGCCCTCGCAACAGTTGGAACAATCTTTAGGAAGGCAAGAACAGGGAACAGTCTTTATTTATATATAATTCCACATAAAACTCTCAACCTTAGAAGGTACAACAACATTAACAACAACAACAACAACAACCTCAAAATCACCTCCTACAGCAGCAACATATGAAGACATCGCCCGCCGCCTACTTTCTCAGAGACTAGACTGATGTCCTTTCTACGCTCTTACTCCACCGAGATACTGATCTTAGAAAGTCCTAGGCTCATCTTATTATAGTTAGACTAGTTGGCGAATGGATTAACCTCATCAGTTAGAAGAACAAGTGTAGTTGAATGTGTGATGAGTTTAGACAAGAACAAGAACAGGATGAAGCAGTCTCTATTTAGTCAGAACAAGTGTTGAATGACAAGAGCATGAACATGGGTGATATTTTGTCCCGCCATTAGACTTGTAGCACTAAATGGGACACCACGATGATGATGATGATGAACAGGAAATAATCTGTATAAAATTTAATTAGAATGCGCCGCTCTTGTCAAGTGTTGAATGTTTGACGTCGACAAGTTACTTGTATTCTTATTCATTACAATATGCATTAGTAGCACTGAAGATTGTGCACTACGGCGCATCATATTAGTTACTGTTCTTGTTCAACGTACTAGCTGAAACGCCACAAGATGAGGTGGCCGCAAAAGTGTAGCTGTAATTGTGCACCACTATAGATACTACGTTCTAGACCGGGGCCTAGTGTCCTATAGTTCAACGTAGATAGGACTAGGTGAAGTTGTACTAGGTACCCTCTCAGTTGATCCATCTGAATACTGTTAGCATTGGTACAACTGGTAGTCCCTCCTGAGCTAGTAAAGGAGCAGTTGTACTACTCAACTTGATGGTGCAAGAACGCAGTCTCATGTTTGTATCTTCTATATGTTTTAGTTTTTTCCTAGGCCTAGCTTCCTCTAATGAGACGAACCCGCTGCAGCGAGCCGAGGCAAAAATTTCCTTGAACCGCCAGAGGAAAAAGCCCCCGGTCCAGGAAGCGCTACACGTAGTTTTCCCGACGAATCTGCTGCATCTGATAAGACAGAAGATCTTGTTCTGGGACCAGGTGAGGGTGTAATTGGTTTAGTAGAGGATGGGGCTGCCAACGCAGGAGATGCGGCTGCCAATCTAAGAGGTCTCACGAATGCTGATGTGCGAGCAGCGCTAAGAGGCGTCACGAATGCTGATGTCCGAGTAGCAGTGTCTGCGCATAGTGCACTAGTGTTGCAGCGAGCATGGCAGATAGTGAACGGGCACACTTTTCCTCGAGTGCTGCAACAGCACGCTTTTTCTGGATTGAACGACGGGTTTGTTGACAGCACCGTGCGGCCATTGCTCGATCAGGAAAAACAACTAATCGCCGTACCCGATCACGACTTTGTGGATAAAATCAGTCTGGACAGTTTCACCGGTTATCTAGCCGTACAACATTATGGCTGTGATAGTGTCGTAGGTCGTCGCGTAGAAGTAGAAAGCCAAAAGAATGATGTAGTCGAAAACTGAAAATAGGCGAGTAACAAATACAATTTAACCGAGTATCTGAGATTATATTATTTAGATTACTCGCTTATTTCAGTCAACAAAGTATGGAGAAAACATAATCATTGTATATCAGTTATAGCAAGTAGAGCGAGGTTATTTGCTCTCGTCATGCTGCCTTGGAAACAGCAAAAGACTTGTTAGCTACGCTGATGTCAAGAATGCTCTAGTACTAATAGGAGTAAGTATGATGGGGACAGACCAGTTTCTTCAGCAAGTCTTTCCTTCCTACTAATTCTATGCTTCCCACTCTGATCTAATCTCACAAGAAGCATCTTCCCCAGCCACGTGAGATGACGGATGAGCAGGAGAAGGAGGAGATTTCGGGACAGCTGCGGGAATTGCAAGGTATCCACGTACATCTCTTTGGGCGCAATGCGGGACTAGCGCACGTTATTGTGTTTTTCTTCCACCTCTTGTATCGCGCTGGCCGCGACCGTGAGCTCTTCTGCGTCCTACGAGCACTCGCGACAGCTGACGTGACATTACGGCTTCCGCTGAAGGAGCATTCTCTTCCTCAGCAGCATCCTTGATGGCTCTTCTTTTTCTGCTTGAAAAAAGGATGCACTCAGGGATGCTCTAATGACGATAGCTCTAATGACGATTTCGGACGAACAAAAACGGCAAGCACGACCAACACTTCTTACGGCTTCGTTATCATCATGCGTTTTATGCTGGTTAGCAGATTTCGACAAGTAGATCAGAAGTGCTACTTTTTCATACAAGAACTTGCTTCTGCAACTAACTTTAGAATTTGACTTGTTCAAGATGATGATCTACACGGATCATGACTTCCATGATCTGTAGGTGCAAAGTAGATAATTATCCAGGAAAACTTCTCAGACCACAGATGTAGAGTCCTTAGTTTCACAGGAAGGAAACAACTCAAACAGATGTAACCAAGAAAAGAGCTAAAGGGCAGCTCTCGTTCTTCTTTCTCGTCCTCTAAATTGAAGCATGGAGTCCCTCACACAGACGCTTTTCCATCTCAGGCAGCGAAGAATCTATGTTTATGGGGAGATTTGCTAGGGCCGGAGGATAAGAGGATGGACGACGCGGAAAACGATTATTCGGAAATCGGAGAAGTTACGAGTAAGTAGGTGTTTTTTCATAGAAGTAACGAAGATAGTCTTGGTCATCCTCATATTATGATGATCATGTTTAAGAACACGTCGGTCAATATGATAGGGTCTCCAACATGACAGGTTTTCTGTTTCCCAACAAACAAGGCTTTTCTCAAAAACTACGAAAACAGAATGTAGACGACTCCACTTTCATTCATCGTGTTACGACTCTTGTAGACGATGACCCAATATTGAACGCGGCCTCGGTGATTCCGGTAGAGAAAGCACGCGATCTTCTCCGCGAGCGCGTGCCCCATTCTTTCACGCGTGTCAGTGATAGCGTTGAGGCGCTCAGTGTTAAGGCTATCGACATGGATATGAATTGATTCATTTGATCCACAGTAGGTGTGCCGTAGGTCTGCTCGAATTCATTTGTATTTGAGCCAGAGTAGGTGTACTGTAGGTTGGAACAACTTTAGATCTAGACTTAGTAAATAATTTTGTTAATTCTAGAGTAATCCACCGTTAAACGGTGGAATTCTCTAGAAGATGTACTTAGAGGGCAAGGACTTTTTATCTTCCACAATAGATATGTTCTATGTTCATCTTCACAAGCAAGAGCAAGGATAGATCTGCTTCTTAGTTACAGAGCTTTTGTTCCGGGAGTACTTGTACTTCTTGGAATCGATAATTCGGAGAACAAGACGAGGGACGTCTGCAGAGCACTTTCAATTTCTTTTGCTGCTCTAAGATTACGTCCAGGCTCCTTTACCCTGCCGGACATGCTGAGGAGATGCTTGGTCAACTTATTGCAGAACTCGAGGGAGAAAAGCGCGATTCTCAGGCTTTTAAGACGCCAACACTTTGCTTCCACTGACTTGGGTAGAGCGACGCAAATCAATTTTCACAGAGTAGAACTGCGAGGGTAGCAGGAAAATCAAAATACCCACTAGATGTACACTCACCTCATCATGCGACTATTACTTCACCATACATGGATGTTACTGCTAGAACAAAATGTTACACTATTCTCATGAAATCGTATTCATCGTAAATCGATGCAGACCTCAACCTCATCTAATATCTTGCTTAGTGGACGAGACGCCGTGGAGGAAGCTAGTGTTGCTTTTTTACAACCCTGCTACCCAGCGGAAGAAGGGTTACGGTAACCGTAAAGAGAAACTTACAGCATCGCTTAAGTAGCTTCTTAAAAAAAGTCATCCTAGAAAAAGTCTGTCGCTGAAGAGTAGATCGCGTTAAGCTGCGTCGGGCTGTCACCCCCGTTCATTGTCCGAATGAGTAAGTGTCTCGTCAAGAATGCATGCGTTCTAGCGTGTATGTAGCGCAGGGAACAAAAAAGTCGTAGTTTAGAAGAGGACGGTTGGGAAAGAATGCTTTTTCTTCATCTGTTGTCGTGATTTCTGGGTATAATTTTTCGGTCATTCTCGCTACCTCTAAGTTAAGTTCGAGGCTGGCTGGCTGCCTACGCGCCGCATGTCCTCCTTTGGCAGCTGAGGCGGTGCTGGAAGGCTGCGAGGGTTTTGGTCTTCTCACATACACGGAAGATGGATGAAAGAAGCGATCATCTTGTTCGCTTGGAGGTTCGTAGAAGATGGGAAAAAGGTTAAGATGATCCTAGTTACTCGTATAGCTACTACGTCGTAGATAAGAAGAAGGTTAAGATAATGACTCCTGCGTCTAGTTTCTAATAATATTCATAAAGATCACTCGTCCGTCTATTCGTAATGATCTTACAGTTTCTCACTCATGAAGATCCGTCCACGAGTGCAGTGTCCTGACTTCTTCTACTAGTTTTGCATCATGCTATCGAAACTCGATTAAGTGCTCTTTACTTAGCGGCCCTTGAGCTTGAAAACTCGTGTACAAAGGGAAAAGGCAAAAAATCCTTCAGGAAGGTATAGCTGCAACCAAAGGATAGTTATTATTATTTGTCATCATAAGTCTATTAATTAGTCAAGAACCAATTTAAAGTCCTAAAGGATTACTCTTTAACCCAAACCCTCTAAGTCTTAGTTGCAGCGGAGGTGCGGAGGGTTCTGAGTGCAATTTTGACTTTGACAGCTGGGGCGCTGGGCACCAATGCTAATGGACTGTTTGTGTGACGGGTTCCTCTTGTAATGCTGAGCACTGGATGGGAGGTTCCTTCTTCGAAGTGAAGGGGTCACTCTATGATACTGAGCACTGGATGGGAGGCTTCTCCTTCTAAGGTTTTTAATGAATGTGAGAAGAAGAAGCAGCCTCTCTAGCAGGGCGAACGTGTCAATTACGTTAATTGAACAACGTCTAAAAGCCATCTCTTTCTCTATACAGAGTACAGGCACGATTGTCATCCATCGTCAGTGGTTGGCTTATTAGACACGTATACACAAGACGAACGTGAGGCACTAACAATGATTTCATTAGACATGAACAGTCATGGCGTGGCCATCTCCAGTCATGACACGGTCCCAGAGAGAAATGTACGGTCTCACAGAGTAGAGGTGGATTCCTACCGTCTGTTTGATCGTAGACTTGAAAAGGTGAAGAATTTGCCCTCATGATACTATAAAGTCTTTGCATTTATTGATACTACCTTCGTTGCACATGGGCCCTCTTATTGAATAGGTTTGGGCATCTACAGCCTTAAAAATATGTCTGCATTAGCAGCCTTTTTCTTCATGGACTGGATTCAGGTTTATTTACAACTTTTATCAACGACCTGAGAGTGCGCAGACTTGAGCATGAGCGAAGGAATCCATAGTAGCAGAGGAGCCACGTACAGCTGCTGGAGAGATTACAGTTCAAATGAGCCCCTTACTCCAGGAGAGGAGTGCGGTTCTTCACTTTAGCAAATTATGCGCTATTCAAGGAAAGGCATGGATCATACGTAATAAACCTGAGATTTTCTTTTTTGAAAGCAGTAGCAAAGAAACCCTTCAATTTGAAGTTGTGCACGCTCAAAACAACCTAGTCGAGCACGTTCTTTACGTTCGAAGAGAGAAAGCGCGACAGTTCCTATCTACCACTCACCACGAAAACTCAAAGCAATCCTACTGAAAAAGTGAACATGTATGTTGGCAATCTTAATCTAAAACCTAATAAGCCTCGTTTTCTCTCCTCAAAATGAATGAAAATCGTTGTGACCCATTGATAGTGCTTGTTTCGTAATTTTTTGCTCAACATTACATACAATCCTAAGTGAAGATGAGTTCAGACATCTATAAACTTGACAAATTGTGAGGATGCCGGAGCAGCACTCATTCTGTAGAGCAGAAGCGGGCGACGCCTTGCATTATGCGGCTTTTGCACAGCTGAAATTGATCTAGCAGATGGGAACATGATAAATTGACGCTCTTCACGATAACTTGTTCTACTGCGGATGCACAGTTCTTGCAGTACTACAACTTCGACGTTTCGAGCGAGAAGCAACATTTTCATTGTACAGGTGACTGGAGCTGCGTGATCCTCAAAGGGTCCACGACAGCATGTTCATCAATCTAGTACTACAGAAGAATCTACTTCGGACACTGGTACATCATAAAGATCCTGAGCAAGAGTTGGGCGGATTTGTGCAGCTATCTACATCATAAAAGATTTTTGTTGGAAATTAATATAATGAGATCAAATACGACGAGTACGAGTTCTACTTGTTGGTGAAGATCTGACGTCAGGAAGTTAGACAACACGGTGGATTCAGCTATCAAGATGGAGGTCACGCAACAGGAGGCGTCGGTGGGTGAGGACGAGAACCAACCTGCGAAGGCCAGCGTGATCATTGGTCACAGCGCGGCTACTAGTTCGAGCAATCCCAACTGGGACGCTCTTCCTAGTACGAGCCCAGGCACTGGGGCAGTTATGTCTGTCACTTCTGTAGTGGGTTGGACTGGAGTTCAGAAGCTATCTCCGTTTCATTTTTCAACTTCTTTGATAGTGTTGCTTCAACTGTTGGGTAGATATCCTTTGCTTTGGAAGTGCTGGAGACTCAGGCATCTTGCTTGATAGACTCATGTTCTCAAAAAACCATAGATCCCTCATTTACCACGTCGCCCCTCTCGACTCGGGGCGATTCTCTACGCAGCGAGAAAGGCGGAACTATAGTGCTCGTCTTGTATGCCGAACTGTCTGTGAATGACGGGCACTAGAAACCAATGAATAGCTTCCGTCTTCTCTAACAAACGCCTTCGCCAGTCTCTACGATTAGCCAGCGGCGGCTCAAGACGAACGGTCCCCGGCAAGACCAAGAGCGGACGAGCAAAAGGGCGACGAAGAGAGAGCAGTTTATGGCGGGCAGCGANGGACGAGCAAAAGGGCGACGAAGAGAGAGCAGTTTATGGCGGGCAGCGAAGGCCGGGTCAGCTATCTTGTATCTCGACGCTGCTCACGCGTTGCATCGCGATAAGAAGCGGGAAAGACGTTCAGAAACTTTGGCGCAAGTTTTTGACTCCAAAGCGAAAACAACGACGCCAGCACAGCAGGAGCCATTCGGGTCGGCCGCTGAACTGAATCGAAAAACGGCCACAGACGGCTCCTCTGGTTCTGCTAGTAGCAGCAGTGGCAGTAGTGCCAACGTGGCAGAATCAACGGCGGCATCCGCTTCCGCAGAACATAGCGGCCATGATGATACGCAAAAGCAAGGTAGTCACTAATAGCTTTCTGCTAGCACTCATTGTTCAACTTCTTCTATCCTGGACTCGATACAAAGAGATACACTACTTAGGAACGAAGAAGTATCGCCTATAGATGGTGCCAGCCGGACAAGTATTAAACTTCATCACACTGCTTCAACCGCAACCCAAAAGAACCTCAAAAATATAAGGTAAAGCCACAGACGCGGCCGAGGTTAGTCATGGCGCAGGGGATGGCGGCAGAGGGGAGTCAGAGCCAGCTTTAGACGCCGACACGCGGGACCTTCGATCCCCTGACCATAGCAAGGCAGGTGTCAAAGATAAAGCCATCAAAGCGCCATCCGCTGGAGACGACGCAGGCAAGACAAATGGGAACGCTGGTGCCTTTTTTATTGTGAGATGGGTCAGATGACTGTACGGACAATACTTTCTTCGAAAAGGTTTTTCGTCTCCATTTGACTTATTCTACTTCAGTCTGACCTACTTGCCAACACAGTATGAATACAAAACGCCGCCCTTGCTCCGTCACATCCTCTTGACAGACATCCTCGCAACATCTCTCCAGGTGGTAAAAGAGCCGCCCACAGCGGGGCGAGCACACGATCAGAAGCTGAGGTCGCTAGCCATACCGCAGAAGGATCCAAAAGTGGGGCGCCTGCAGGTGGCAAGGGATATCCCAAGAGTGAACAGAAGGGAGAGAAAGCCCTGAAGGCAGTGAAAGAAAGTGGGTCGCTGGGTATTTCCACTTCCATCCTTTTCCCAATGATGATGCGCCTTTTACTCTGTGAGTGTTGGACTTGTAAGTCTATTAATCATCAAAATGAAGATTCTCACTTGTCAATCTACAACAACAGGCAGCACGGATCGCGTGCTGCTATCGCAGGATACTAGGGGAAGCGGAGCCTCTACTGTCCGACTTGACGAGGCTGCTGACCTAGAGGTAAACGCTGGCAACCATGTTGCCGACGAGGTTACCGCAAGCCATGTCGAGACGGGCTCGGACAGTGAGGACCCAAGATGGCACGGGATTTTATGGCCTCGATTTCGTGAGTTTGAAGCTGAAGAATACTCACAGAAAGTATGAGACTTTTGGACTTCTTCCGAAGTTAGTTTTTGGTCTTGGGAGTCTTGTTCCTGTTGGTGCTCGGTAGTATGTAAATACTATTTACATGACTGCGCAACCAACTTCGTTTCAGGCACGAAAAAGCCAGAGACTCGTTTTGTTTGTGCCAAGGCGATTTTCTTATCCTTATATATCCCGTGTAGTGTAGGAGCCGTTGCTCCACTTCTAACACTCGCGACAACCACAGTCACAACAACGACGCTAGGGGGCCAAATGCTGCGAAAAGTAGAGCCTGGCACTTCGTCCAGAGAGAGCGATAGCGGGGTGCCCGCAGCTGGCAAGGCATATCCCAAGAGTGAACAAAAGGGAGAGAAAGCCCTGAAGCCAGTCAAGGCAAGTGGGTCGCTGGGTACTTCTCCTTACGTCCTTGCTTTCCTTTTGAAAATGCGCCGTTTACTCTGTGACTGTTGGGTTTGCGAATTTATGAATGATCACGACGCCTCTCTTGTCAATCTACAATAACAGGCACCACGGACCACGTGCTGCTATCGGGGGGCCTATTGAAAGCGGAGCCTCTGCCCGATTTGATGAGGCTCCTGCTAGCCTAGAGGCCAACGCTGACAGGCCAGCGGAAAACCATCCGACAAAGGGCGCCACAAGTGTTGCACACGATGGCGCGGCAAGCTTGGTCGAAACCGATAGTGAGGACCCAAGATGGCACGGGATTTTATGGCCACGATTTCGTGAGTTTGAAACTGAAGAAGACAGCAGCTACTTCTACTACTTTTGATTAGAATTAGGCCCATCCTCATGCAGCAAAGTAGGAATATGTAGACGCACCACATGAAGAGCGAATACGTCAGGCTTTTCGACTTCTTCCGACATTAGTTTTCGATCTTGGGAGTCTTGTTCTTGTTGGTGCTCGGTAGTAGTTATATGACTGTGCAACCAACTTCGTTTCAGGCACGAAAAAGCCTGAGACTCGTGCTGTTTGTACCAGTACAGGCGATTTTCTTATTCTTATCGCCTGTTAATAGTGACGGAGCCGCCGCTCCACTTGCTTCTAACATTCGCGACAACCACAGTCACAACGACGACGCTCAGGAACCAAATGCTGCGAAAAGCAGAGCTTGGGGCTTCGTTCAGCGATACCTCAGAAGGGGCCACAAGTGAGGCGCCTGCAGCTGGCAACGAATATCCAAAGAGTCAAAAAAAGGGGAAAAGGCCCTGAAGTCAGTCGAGGCAAGTGGGTCGCTGGGTACTTCTACTCACACCCTTTCCCTTTTGAAGATGTGCATGTGCCTTTTTGTTTTACTATGTAAGTAATTCCAATTGTTGGGTTTGCGGGTCTATCAGTCATGAGCATGAAGGTTCTCGCTTGTCAATCTACAACAACAGGCGCGGAGCGCGTGCTGCTATCGCAGGATACTGGTGAAAGCGGAGCCTCTACTGTCCGACTTGGTGAGGCTGCTAGCGTGGGGCCAAGCGCTCACAGTCCTCCGGCAAAATACATGGGAAATTCCGGCGGAAGTGTTGCAGACGAGGTTACGGCAAGCCCCGTTGAAACGGACAGTGAGGGCCCAACATCATGGGACAGGATTTTATGGACTCGGTTACTTCACTAAAGAAATTTCAACTAGAGCCATGTAAGTAGCCAACTACGAAGAAAGAAAAAAGAACTTAAGAGATTTTTGCCTTCGTTTCGATTACTTTTCTTTGGTCTAGTGCTTCTTGTCGGTCGTCCATACCTAGTAGAGGGGTATAGACTAGATGTTACAGCAGCAGCATTTAAAAAAGGGTAAGATGAGGCAAGGTAGCTGATGATTTATTTTCGATATGGCGTGCTATTGACGGCGCGGCCGGTTGCGTCTCAGGTAGGCAGGGGTCTGCTACTCTTGTTGTGCGTCTACCTGCGCTCTTTGCTTTGTCTTGCTCACTCGTAGCCGCCGTCGCTGTACTTCTAACATTCGCGACGACCACAGTCACAACGACGGCTCTTAGACATCAAATGCTGCGAAAAGTAGAGCCTGACACTTTCCCCACCGAACGAACACCGGCGCCAACGGCTGCGAGTTGGAAGGACTTCGCGCTCGGGCTTTTCCATAAAGTTGCAAGCCTCTTCTTGTCGAGTTCCCCTTCCGCGGATCTTTCGAAGGAAACCGACAATGACCGCGCAGTCACGGAGTTATGGCTGGATCATTGAAAATAGAGGACGACAGAACGAGTAGGGAGTCGACTGAGATGCAATCTGTAGAAGTGAGTGGCGTAACGAGCATTGCTGGAGAACTCCCCTCCATTTATTATTTTGAAAATGAAACTTTCATTCTAACTCGATCTCGTGTTTGTTGTTATTATCAAGTGCAATGTGATCTGATGCCGCTAATGATAATGCGGCTACACGACCGGGAGCAAGATGCGCCACAGTTCTCGTCTTTGTTGCAGCTGCATATCGATGACTTTTTCACGGATGAGACATTGGCAATGGAAATGAGCGGGCTGGACAAGCAATGCGAGGAATTAGCAAAGAAGAAGAAGAAGAACGAAGCACCGCAGCTCGCGCCCTTGGAAACGCAGTCAAAAAGATTATCAAAAAATAGGGCTGTTCGCATGTACTGCGACTGGGCGCCAACAGAAGACCGGCTGCAGTTTGAGTTTCCTGATCCCTCGCTTATGGACACGGACTCTGCTCGGCTAAAAAATAGACTCAGTAGACTAAGTGCGGGCCTCGCTTGTTTTTGTAAAGGCCCGACCCGCAAAGAAGGAAGAGAATGAATGCCATTTCGTGCGTGTTCGTTGTCCATCTGTATGCCTATCCCTATGCCGATCATTTGCATGACCTTAGTCGCGTGCATCGCTTTCATGTCTTTCGCCATGCTGATCATGTTGGTCACCATTGTGATCCTGATCGTGTGCAACGTTTTGAACAAGTTGGAGCAGTTTCGTGATTCTCATACATTTCGGGGGTCTTGGAACTGGATCAGTCCCCCCCTTAATCTGCAGTCACCTACTTAACAAGTAATGCGCTGGAGATTCGTGCAGCTAGTTTAGTCCTAGATATGTGAAAGATGCAAAAAAATCACTAGCGTTCTTTAATGTTGCAAGGTGATGCGCTTGGTGATGATGCACGAAGGTAGATGGATGCCCCTCGAATGTATATTAGGCACGACTAAAAACGTACCCGCTATGTTTGAGATGACTCAGCGCGGCCTTTTCCTTCTTCTTCTTTATATATACACAGTCCTTCTGCTTCTTTGGTTTCTTCTCAAGTTCGTCGAAGTCGATGCCTTCAAGATCGAAAAAACTTGGGTCTGCGCCCGGGGGCAAGGCCTCTCCTCCTTGCTGTAGTTCTGCAGACGCACGCAGCGACAATGGGCATGGGGCTCTGGGTCGTTTAAGGATAGCGCCAGCCCCTTTTCCTCGTTGCTTCTCGTTGGGGCCTTTTTTTCTTTTGGCGCCCTTTTCTTCGTCTGCTTCGGCCTTGGCTTCGCCTTCGGCTTTCGCTCTTTTTCCCTTGTTTTCGGCTGGCTTGCTGCCTCCTTTCTTCTTGTTGGCTTTGCCGCCTTTGTTTTTTCATTTTTTCGGCTTAGGCTCCTCGACCACATGGCTCGGAAAATTCCACTTATCCGGGTGCGGATAACGCGGAGAGGCCTCTGCCTTTGCCATAGTGATTAGTGATCTTTCTGCCAATGGCTCCACTAGTTGCATCCTCTAGAGATGGGCCACAGCCATCGTAGCGGTACGAGTCAGATGCTTTCGCTACGCTTTCCCTCGGCGTGAGGAGTCGCCAAAGCATATTTTTGAACACCACCGACCAAGCCAGGGCGACTAATGCGCCTTAGCTTGCAGGTCCCAGCGCTCTTTTTTGAGGCGCTCCTGCATGATGTCCATTTTTTTGGAATAGTGCAGGGATATCGACATATCGCGACGCTCCCTCCAATCTTTCCAAGTTTCTTCGATGCTGAGGAACATACAGAGCATGCCGAAGCTGATGCATTTGCTCCATTCCATAGCGTCACGACATCCGCGAAGAGTACGCGCCAACGAGTGACAGCATTGCCGAAGAATGCCGGCGCGGACTTCAGTGGCCGGAGGTAGGGATGGCGGTGTAGGTTTTTGCGGCGCCATTGCGTTGCTCGAATGGCAAGCCGCATCTCGAATAGCTTTTTTTAAAGCTTTCGCCACCCGGAAAACCGAAGCCACCTCCTTCGTAGTGGAAGAGGGGCGCGGCTGTAGGGTGTCGCCCCGCCGTGATTTTGTTCGTGGAGGACGATGCAGAGAAACTAGCCGACATTTTTGTAGGGTGAAAAAGAGCAAGAGCGATTTACTTTATATGCAATAGATGACATTAGGAACGTAGATGAAGATAGCGCCTATGAATGCTAAAACAGGACCCAAAAACCCAAAGAAATCTTCGAAAAAAATCAAATTTGAACGAGGGAAAAAACTGAAGAGAAGACGGCCGCGCCTGGTCGAATGGCCAGACGTGATCTCGGGGGTGAGTCTTATTCTGATGCGACTCGCAGCGGTCTACTTCGTTGCTTATTTTCTTCTTTGATCGCTGCAAGTTCGAACACTTGCGAGTGGAACTACCGTCCACTCCCCAAGTTGGACTGTCTTGGCTTTTGGCTTTTCGCCCACGATCTTTGCAAGCAGATTAGTGGAGGCTGCTTTGTTACGCGCCTTCGTGAAGACGTCGCCCTTCTGATCTTCTGTAGGGCAATAGTGGAGCGCGGTTCTTCCTTGTTGCTCTACGATCTCACGGGTCCAAAGCATTGCAAGACCCATGAGCTTGGCGCAGCGTCTTAAGATCCATGAGCTTGGCGTGGCGGATCTCTGGGCTTTCGCCGATCGCTTTTGCGCTTTTGTTGTCGAGTATTGACGGAATTGGGGAGAGTGACTCTCTTCGCCGCCCGTGGGCGCTCGCTGAGTTCTTTTGGCGATTGTTGCCAAGCAAGGCGCCTTAGCGATTCTCGTAGATGAAGTCTCCGGAGATAAGTCGCTTCCCTTGCGACTTCAGTCGCGGCGATGAGTTCCGCTGCAGTGGTGGATAGTGCTACCACTGCCTGCCTCTTGCTGCGCCAGGCAATAGGTGTAGGAATATTCCCCCTTGCCTCCACTAAGCCGCCAGTGGCGGACCTTCGTGCATTTTTGCATGTTGCCCAGTCAGCACCAGACCACGCGCAGCGAGATAGATCGCCGTCGCGGCCGTCAGTGTTTAAGCTGAAGCAGCGAGCCCTTTGGGGATATCCTAAGACGCGATCGCAAACGCGTGGGGCCTCCTGTGTGGGGTCCTCTAGATATGTCGGCAGATTCGGGGCGACGACGGCACATGCTAGGCCGTAGCTAATCTGGTTGATGTACCTACTTACGCAGATACACTACTGCGCCGACGAATTGCCTATAGGTGTGCTTTGTCCTTGTCGCCAGGTATTCGTCTTTTTGCTTGTGCCATCGGCCGCTTCTCGTTCGGGGCGGTCGATCTCCGCGCGCGTTATCGGAGTATCGACTTCCTTGGTCGTTTTGTCTGGGTCGAAGTCCTGCAGAATCTCATCGACCAGACTTTCTCCTTCTTGACTCAAGGCCAGCCTGTGCCTCTTTTTGAGGCCGTTCGCTGACGCCCAGAAGCTTATAGAGCTGCCTGCCGTCCTCTTGTTGTTTTGGTTAGCACTCATTGCGCCCAAACCTATCGGGGATTGACATCGAGCCTCGAGCCGCGGCGATATCTTCTCTCCGACCTAGAGTGACAACGTCACCCACGTGCGCTGGCGTGGAGACTTGGCGCCTGCCGTGGAAGAACCAAGACGGCGCGCTCTCGCTTTGTTTGTTTCCAGCCGGGGCTGGTGGCGTGTTTCGCGAACGTTTTTGCCCAGAGTGCTGGGGCGCTCTTCAGACCGTGGGGGGCTTTCTTTAGTTTCTAGGCGCGACCTTCTCTGCGCCACTGTGGCGGAGGTATGCAATAGACACCCTCGCCGACGATGTCAGCGCTTAAGAGAGCTGTCTTGGCATCATACTGCTCAAGATCAAAATCGAGGACCATTGCTACCTTGAGGAGCAGTCTTATCTTTGGGATCTGAGGGGCGGGAGAGTAGGCGCTTTCCTTGTAATGTACTCGATTCCCGAGAACTCAACTACGGCGCGGCAGCAGGAGGGCACGATCGTCGAAGGTAGGCCTGAGCAGCCGGAGCCTCGCCAGAGAATGCACCAGGCCCGGCGTCCATGATTTTGGCGATGAAGTGCACACTGTCGGGGGGCAACTCCTCGGCAAACGTCACGGCCGCAGTTCGTCCACAAGGGAGAAGGGTCTCCTCTTCCTTGTTGCGGCTACGTCTCTCCAGTTCTCGCTGCGCGTTAAGATGGGTTGGGCGTTCGCTCGGTTTGAGTTCTTTTGTCATTTGTCAGGGCTTCAGCGAGTGCCGCTAACCTATGGCGCCCCTTCGAGCACTGGGGCGTGGGCTTTCCGCTCTTACTTTTTTCAAAAATCGTCTTCGCCTCCTCCATGAAGAGAGAATAGCTGTCGCGTGCCCTTATTGGGTCTGCCACGGCGGGACAAGGGCTGGCGCTATAGGGCACATATCTGCCAGGGTCGGCAGGGAAGTATGTACTTGCTGACACGGAGCGCGGGCGCTCCTTGTCTTTTGGGCTTCATGCTCATGGGGATTATGTTTATCCCCGCAACTGAAGGTCTTGAATCTGTCAAGATTTTTCGAAGCTCGTAGCGTATCCGCCATCTCGTCGGGCAGGGTCACTACGTTGCCGCTGCCGGCTGGAGCAGATTTCTGCGCCTCTCTGGGCTTGTTGTCCACTGCTTGTGCTAACTTATCCAGATATAGTGTCCTTTCCGTAGGAACGTATACGCACTCCGGCGAGGTTGGTTCTTTGCCGATGTCGACTTCTCGCCGACCTCGGCGCGATGGATGAAAGAAGGCGCGCAGAAGTCGCCAGGAAGTCTCCGGGAAATTTCAGAAAATGCCGAGCGTGTGGGCTGGTGGCGACAAGGCTTAGCGCGGGCAGTGCTTCAGCACTTTGGGAGGGTGGTCGGGGTTCTCTTGCCTCCTTGTCGTTTCCTTTCCCACTTGCGTAGCGCTTTAGGGGGGCGAGAAATGGCACGCAGGGGCGGACTCTGTGGCTTGTATGCAGGGAGGGCTTGGAAGGCCCTCGGAGATGAACACGCGAGCGACTGACGCCAGAGAGAGGCTTCGGGCTGTGGTTCGACAAGGGTGGCGCAGGCGCTTGAGCTCTATGGAAGTCGCAGAGAAGTCGTCGAGGAGTCTCTGGAAAGTCTTCCACGGGTCTGGCTGGAAGTCGGTGGAAGTCTCGCAGAAGTCTCCGGAGAGTTTGCGCCTTCTGGAAGGGTTCCCCGCTGAGGCCACCCCGGTTTTTTGAGACTTCCACAGACTTCCAGACGGACCCGCGGAAGACTTTCCAGAGACTTCCCAGAGACTTCCACAGAGGTCGCCTGGGAAAGTGCTCAGACTTCCCGGAGCGTTTGGGCAGACTTTCTGCAGACTTCCACGGGAGTGAAGTGGGAGAGCTCTGAAGCCTTCCCAGAGACTTCCAGAGGGCTCACCCATGGGCCTCAAGAATGGGAGACACCTTGCGAGCCGCTTGGAGGTTCTTCTAGGTGTGCCGCTGTCTTCGTTTGGGGACTTTCATGGCAGTGCGCCAGAGTGCGGCTGAGCGCTTCAGCGCTGAAGCCGTCACGGCGGCGGGCTGTGTGGTCTCTCGTTGTATTGCTCCAAGGCCAGGCCTTCGCCAACCATTTCCCGGCTTTTTCTCGAGATTTCTTGCAGAGGCAGACTCCCACCCGGCGAAGCTGATCCGGCTGCGCTGGTGTCAATTCTCGGGCCTTGGTGGCTTTTGTCGTGGTTTCGTCCCAGACTAAGTAGTTGGGAGAGAAATGCGAGTAGCCCACGAATATGCCGGGGAGGTATGCCCGCTGCGTCTTCGTTTTCGCGGAGTTTTTATATCGGCAAGGCGTCCCAAAAGTTCGCACGAATTTGAGAGGCGGAGGCCCCCCGTGCCGCGTCTGGTGCGCGGACTGTGAGCTGAGGGCCAGCCTTTGCGCTCGATTGAGCGCGGGGCAGTATGCTGGTGCTGCAAGGCTCCAGAACTTGCCTGGTAACCTTGCAGCGCCAAGCAGACGCTTGACTCCCTGCGTTGCGAGTCGACTAGGGACTTCCGCACTACCGTTCTGCGCCGGTGAGTACGGGAACGATTTGCGCGGCTTTATGCTGTGAGTGCTTGCGGAGTAGTTTGGGAAACTCTCTCTCGAGCTCTTTTCTGTTGTCAGACCTACAGACTTTCGGCGTGCCGTGTTTGTCCATCCAGATTCGTCGAGCTTTATAGGCGTCTGCCTTGCGCTCTATTGAGATTGCTTCGGCCCAGGGGTCGCATCGGTCAACCATGATGACCCAACACCTGCAGCCACTGGCGCCGGCTGCCAGGGGGCCGCACAAGTCCGCGCTGATTGTGTGGCTAGGTTCACTGGGGAGAAGCTCTGGCGCCGTGGCCTTTTTGGGTGGCTTCTGACGGGCTTGATTCTGTCTGCATGTTTCACAGTTTGGGGAAAAAAATATGACATATGCCCCATTCTGTTCTGTGTGGCCTCTTCCGAGATCGAGAAGGCTGGCCTTACTTGCGGGCCTCGGTTCGTAGTAGAACCTTGCGAACCGCTGGCGGCGGGCCTTTCTTGATTACATCAACCGCTTCACCACTGGGGGCGCGTAGCTAGAGTGGGTGACATTGTAAAGTAAGCCTGGCTCTAGCAGTACTTCCAGGCTTGCTATGTTGTGCGTGAGCCTCGGACTATGGTGTGCTTTCCTTATGAGTATGGGGAAGCGTTCTGCCGTCTTGAGGGGTTTGGGGGAGACTCGTGCTCCCCTCTCGACGGGAGGCCTGGCCGTCAGCTTGGACTATGGTGCCCTCACCGACGACGTCTCGGATCAAGCTCTGACGCTGACCCCTGGCACAGAAGACTTCTGCGCCACTATCGAGAAGCCACTCACTGTGGGCTTGCTTCTCGATAGTGTCTGTGTAAGCGGACCCTGTCGAAGTCGTCGACGTCTTCCTGCATCTGTGGCGAAAGCGCCGCGACAGTCTTGCTCTGTTGTCTCCCAATGCAACACGAGCACGGGGGCGGTTTATCGTCCTCGACGTCGTCGACGTTCGCGACTGAAGACACCCGCCGCGCCTCACATGGATGCCCGGCGGCTGGTGGCGGCTGTTTCTGTTCGCTCTCAACTGGCAGGCAAACGTCCGCCATTTCCATCTCCTCGGCTCCGAGATGGGGTCACACTCCTCGGCTTTTGTTGTAACTTTGTGCCCTTTCAAGAATTCCACAAAGCTAGCAGCTCTGTCCAGCTCCCTCCTCTCAGGCTCTAAGTCTGAGAGATTTGGCCGCGGTAGCCGCCACTTGTTGCACGACCGTCCTACTTTGGCTACCGCGGGGAGTCGATAAGAGACCGGGCCTGAGCCAAAGCTTTCCACCTTCTTTGTGTGACGTAGTCACCAAGGTTCGCCGATCGCGACGCTGTTGATCGTGGGGCGACCCTCTTTCTTCTTCTCTTGTTCGGTCTGGTTCTTTCTATCCGTGCTGGGCTTCTCGGGGTTGGTCGGTGCCACTTTTTCCTTTGCCTTTTTTACCTTTGCCCGTCCCTTTCTTCCCCTTTCTTTTGCGGAGGGAAGTCTCCTGCTTTTCTTCTTCGGCTGCTTTCTTCTGAGCTGGCTGCAGCGCGAGAACTTCCGGCGAGGGTCGCTCAGTCGTGCCAAGGTTGACTTTGTTGCGGGGAGTGAGCCTCGGTTCGTCTCCGTGATCACTTTCTCAAGTTCAAAGTCGCCCTGCAGCTCACGCTGCAGACTTTGCATCTCATGCGTGGGCAAGTCCGAGCTGATACCCTTGAGGAAGCACATTCTTGCGACTTCGTTCGTCGTCGTATCTTTCACCTTGTTGAAGATAGGACGAGAGTCCCGCGCGGCTGTGGCGACGTTTTGCGCACTGGCGTCGAACTCGATCAGGCGCCAAAAATCGCCCCACAGCTTCCGCTGCTGTTTAGGATTTTGGAAACTTTCAACTTCAGCGAGGACGCCCTCCTTCCACCTCTTCAAGTTCTGTAGTGGTCAGGTGATCGCTGCGCTCTTGGCTGAGTTTGATAGCTTGCTCGACACGGTACGCGGGGCCCTTCTTCTCGAGGTGCTTCGCGTAAGCGTTTCGATATTTTTCGCGGCGCTTTTTCCGGAGATCATAGTAAGTCAGTCTTCCCACTTCCTGAGCGGGTGGGCTTTCTCCTCGACCCTGAAGCGGCCTTTGACCGTGGTCCAACCGTCTTCCTCGGCCTTATGTTATCTAAGTCGGGGAGTGCACTGGCGTCCGCCAGTCCCTCTCCAGGTGTGTCATCAGTGTCCCCGGTGGGGTGTTATGTTGGCACGAATGAGGAGAAAGTGGAAATGTCTTCGATGTCGTTGCCGTCTTTGAGAGTTGCGCGGACTCCTTAATCTTTGACTTTTCCTTGGTCCTCCACTGGTACCCTTGCCAGTGGCATGAGTGGCGCAGGGTTGCATGTATACCAGCCTTGGCGTTTGATTTTGATGAAGCGAGTATAGCGCTTATCCTCACCTTCGCTGCATTCGACTTCGGCGCCGTCGAGAGTGATGACACGCTCAACGCCACAGCGGTACTTCATCGCCCCCTTTTGTTCGACCTTGTTGTAGTACTCGGGCTCGAGGAACCACAAGGCTCGCTCAGGTGTGAGCTTGTAGCTCTGCCCTCGTTTGGCGTAGGCTTGTCGCGCCATCTTGGCGAGTGCTTCCCAGCAAACAAGTCTACGGGAAGACTTTTAGAAAATCGACGCGCCGCGCGTTACAGTCCAGGCCTTTGGAGTATTTATTTGAGAGAGGTCCGTGCGATATGGACGCCAGGGCCGTTCTGAAACACTTCCGCGTGGCTGCTTGCCAAACGCGCGCGCCGCCCTTTCGGGTGGGAAGGTCGGCCGATCTCGCGAGGGTGGACAAGGCCGCCCCGTTTTGCGAGTTTGGTTTGCAGACTTCTTCCTTTTGTTGTCTCTTTAAGTGACTCCTTGAGGCACCTGGGATCAGTCGGAAGGCCTTTCTGCTCTGTGGTGGTTCTTGTTGCCGCAAGGTCTGTTTACCCGCCGGAGAACTTCCAAAAGCCGACAGAAAGTCGGACTATCAGAAAAAATCTGAAAACAAAAAACAAACAAAAGCTTTTGGGCTTTGTTTGTAAGTAACTAAATACTTAAGGAGTGTGAGGGCTTATGGCTCAATGGTCCGCCGTTTATGAACACGGACTCTTCTCGGCTAAAAAGTAGACTCGTTAAGCGTGGGCCTCGCTTGTTTTTGTAAAGGCCCGACCTGCAAAGAAGGAAGAGAATGAGTGCCATTCCGTGCGTGTTCGTTGTCCATCTGTGTGCCTATGTTGATCATTTGCATGACCCTAGTCGCGTGCATCGCTTTCATGTCTTTCATCATGCTGATCATGTTGGTCATCATTGTGATCCTGATCGTGTGCAACGTTTTCAACAAGTTGGAGCAGTTTCATGATACTTCTCATACATTTTGGGGATCTTGGAGCTGGATCATTTCCGCCACTGCCACCTCCAGGAAAGTCGCCGCAAGAGCCAGAGCCACCGGCAAGCAGCCCGCCGCAATTGCATCCGGCTCCTCCTCCATCAAGCAAGTCGTTGCTAGAAGAGGGCGGGGCGGCGCTGCGGAATTATCTTTGGGGACTTTATACGAATGCTCGCAAGTTAGGTGCTTCGGGTTCTGACCTTGGTGTTTATCAAGTCGTTGCTGTCGTCGAACTCGGAGAGAAAGAGACTGGCGGCGCAAGCAACAAAGGCGCGCTGCTGGTGCGCACATGGCGCAAGCCGACTGCGGCGCCTGAGTCGCGCCGCTCGCTCTTTTGCAAAAAGATGGACCCCGCTCCCCCTCGTCAAAAATGGAACGACAGCGAGTGCGCGGCCGCAAAGATTTTCGTGGACAACTGGAGGAGCAACGCCAAAGCAACGCATCAATACCAGGGAGAGGGCTACAACGTCGCGACCCCGTTCTGCACAAATTTGCGGTTCCAGGTCGATAGGGACAGGCACAAGGCGCTTTGTGCAGATGCCATGAATGTTGTAACGCAGAGCAACCTCCTGGCTGAGATCGAGCCGACGACGGGCGCCGCCAGCAGTGGCCAAGCGTCACAAAAAAACGCATTGTGGTGGACTTGGGAAAGCAATCGCGTCCTGAAGGATGTTGGGCTTTTCCACCGAGACATCAAAGGTGAGAGCTTCCTTCGCTCTTCTTCTCCAGTCGCCTTCTTGATAGCCTTCGACATGGACGCGGCGTGCACGACAAGTAGTGACATGCCGAGCGTCGTGCCGTGTGAGGGGCAGGGTCGGACGATAGCTGGCACGCCAAATGTCTTTTCCCCAGATCACTTCACTTTCGTGTTTGACTTCGGCGACTACTTCAAAAACAGCCAACTCTGTACGAGCCAAAGGATTGTAGACCACGCGGCCAGAGGGGACTCCTTCAGCTGGGCGGCCACAGTCATTGCGGCCGCTGCGCCCAAGTACTTCAGCAACGGCGTATTTGACTTGCTGGGACTTAAACGCCCTACCCAATCCCTCTATGTTGTGTCACTCACACTGACTCTTTCGCAAATTGTTACACCTCCTGAGAAAACTTGTGTAGACCGTCACTCACAGGTAGGCGCATATCCTAAGCTCATGCCCCAAAAATCAAGAAACCCGACATGACGTCACCTCTAATTCCAAGGAGGAGAAGGAGCATATGCGCGGGCTGGGCTGCGAATGCTACGACGCGAAGCGGCCTGTCCAGGTTCAATTTTGATTATGAGTTGAGAGCGGCTTTCGCTGTAGGAGTTTTGCTCAATCACAACTACTATATATATGCCTAGATGAAGTGTTTCGATTTCAAATCTAAGCGCTTATAAAATCAAGCACCCCAAGCATGATATGCTCCCTTTCTTTCATATCGCTGAAGATTACTGAAGCGACAGCGAGGTCCGCGCCTCAAGCTTCGTCCCCGACGATCTCAGATGCGGGCAAAAAGCTGAAAGAGTTATGGTGCTTTAGTACTTGGTAGATAGCACGGACGCGGATGGAGCTGGGAGTTTTCTTGAAACGCAAGAAGATGCGTTTGGGACGGAGTAAATAAGCTTCGTCCTCATTATCAGAATAATATCAATCAAAATAAGTTGTTTTCAAGAAATGTTGATGTCGTCGATCGAATGGTCACCGGATTCGCAACAGCTACAGCGAATAACTCCTGAAGCTAGTACAGATTTAGACTATTTTCTTAGCGTGAAATATGCTGGAAGCTCTTACAGAATTGAGAATTCGCATACTTAAAGCCGCGTTAGACTTTCCTAGCATGGTGCAGGAGGGTTCTTGCAATGATTTGGTGATTGAGTTTATTTCTTATGTCCCATTTTTTTTAGTGAAGTTCGTTCGCGACGTCTGCCATCGTGGACGGATGAGTGAATGTTGGTGCATATTGGTACTGTTCTTGGTGTTTATTTTTTTTCTTCTCTTCAGAAGGACCCGCAAGGATCACATCACTTCTGTTTCATTGCGTTAACATATTGACTATCTAAGGTTGACAAGGACAAGGCTTTTACTCAGTCATATGCCTACTTCCAAAATATGCGGTAGAGTTCGGGTTTGGAAGAGGTAGCTTTATGGTAGTATTGCACTTTTGACTCTTTCCATTCTACAAGCATCGATCTGGCATCTTTCCGACCTTTCATCTTGTTCTATCGAGAAAGCGGTCATGCAGAGTATCACTCCAGACCTAGAAGGCAGTGCCCGTCACGAGGAGACGGAAAAGAAAAAGGGTACTTCAAATTTTATATTGTTATTGATCTGGAGACTTTGCTACTGCTAGTGCATATTGGTGACTTTCCTAGCAATATTGCTAGCTTACTATCTAATAACCACCTTACGAAGATCGTCCACCTATGAAATCGCCGCGGACTTTGTCACTCGGTTGCGTCCTAAGTTGGAAAGTTGTGGAAGCTGGAAGCTGTGGCCCTTACTGTGACGGGCCTCAAACTTCCTGCGACTAGTCTCAAAACTGCCGGGACTAGACTCAAAATTACTGCGACGAGTCTCAGAACTGCGGCGACTGGTCTCGGCTTTGCCGTGACTAGTCGCAGCACTGCTGTGACTAGTCGCAGAGCTTCTGTGGCTCCTCTCAGTCTTATTGTGACGAGCCTCAGTCGCAGTCTTACTGTGACCAGCTTCAGACCTTTTGTGATTATTGTTCTCAAACTTACTGTGACTGGCCTCGGACTTTTTTGCTGTGACTAGTTTCGGGCCTTTTTGCTGTGACTAGTCTCGGACCCGCTGTGACTAGTCTCAAACTTACGGCGACTAGCCTCAGGCCCACTCTGACTAGCCTCGCGCCCACTGTGACCAGTCTCGGGCTTGCTCTGGCTGGTCTCTGACTGAGTTCGTCGGGCTGTTCGAATCTTAACACCGTCAGGAGCTGGCGCTTGTGTATTCTGATGGCGTTCAGATTCGGACAGCCAGACAAACTCAGACAGAGACTAGGCGCAGCAAATTCGAGACTAGTCGCAGTGGGCGCGAGACTAGTCGCAGCAAACTCGAGACCGGTCACAGAGAGTCTGGGGGTAGTCACAGTGGGCGTGAGGCTCGTCGCCGTTCGTAAGTCTGAGACCGGTCACAGTGAGCCCCAGGCTTGTCGCGCTAAGTCTGAGACCAGTCGCAGTAAGCTTGAGTTTGAGACTGGTCGCAGTAATTCGGAGACTTGTCGCTGTCATTTTGCGACTAGTCTGGCACGGTAAGGCTGAGGCTAGTCATGGGATGGCTGAGACTAGTCACAGCAACTGCCACAAGCACAACTCCCACAGACAACCCGGGCGTGACTCGTCACAACTTCCACAGCCTGGCAGGAATAGAGTGCGGCCTTTTCGTAGGTGTTTGGCTTTTCTAACCAGTCACGAGGAGGGTGAAACTCTGCACGCATCTGCGTGAGTGCGAAGGGGTGAGACAAAGGAGGGCGCAATCGCTTACTTCTCAAGGACAGCGACAAAGTAAGTAGATTCGGCTAGTAGCGCGCCAAAGTCATACAGCCTGCGCGCGTGTGCGCATGACTTCCACAATATTTGCAACTTCGTCCATTCCTGTTCTTCTCGTCACAAGATACTCACCTACTAGTCTCCACCTTTTGTCTGTATATGTAACTGCTTCGGACTCTGTTGAAGGGACGAATGCCCGAGGGTTGTTTCGACTTTGTAATAGGAAGCAAAGTAAGTAGATGCGCGAGGTCCTTGGCTTAGTTCGTGTAGGCTTGGACACGAGTTAAGTAGTAGCAAGGACTACTGGGTAGCGAGACCTGCTAGGGAGGGAAGCGCCAAAAGCAGTAGCAGTCGAACAATGCGTGACACTTGGCCAATCGTTCGCCAGGTCAGGCGAGCAATCTAGGTAAAGTCATTCGATGCAGAGAGTGAGAGTTCACGGAAGGCTTGGCCAAATGAGCTGCCTTAAGATAGATTTGGTCGCGTCTTGAAACTTGAGGGGAAACCCTTGAGGAGTAGGGAGGGAATGATCTAGGCCAGGTGGATAAGGTTGAGAGACCTTAGAGAAGCCTCTGCTGGGTTTATACATAGACGAGAAAGGATTCGAGTTGCTGGCATCTGCGAGGATGCCAGGCGCATTTCTTGGAGACGGGAAGGGGCTAGGACTCAGTTGGTATTTGGGCGCTTTCGCTGTAATGGTGATAGAGATATACGCACCACCGGGCGGAGCTCTTAAGAGGATCGGATGGCTCCGACGCCTCACTGCGTAGGGGGGGCAGTGTAGGACCTGGCCCGGGTGTAAACGGGGCGGCCTTTCGTGAAGAAGTGCGCCAGCGATTCCAAAGAACTGGCGCCGAATGACTAAAAGACTTAGACGGCTGCTGCCTAGATCTTCGTGGTAGGGCGGCTGTCGTTGTTAGACTAGACGAGTTGGAAAGTCAACATGAGACGTTCTGGCCACAGCACAGGGCGGCGCTGTGGTCAGCATTTGGATGTTGCCACAGTTGCCAAATTGTGGCGTGGGCCTCCTAGCGGGGTTGATTTAGAGTCATGCTTGGACCTTGTTTCATCGGTGAAGAATGTGCTCAAGGGTGAAAACCAGTACCGCGTCGATCCATAACATATACACACACACACTTTAATTCCAACACAGAGGAAGCGACTAACCTCCTGCAAGCGCTTGAAAGCACGCAACTCAAGCCGCTGCCGCGTGGCAGGTTTCAGTCGCCCCCGATCTCAGCGATTGAGCTACTGGCGCAAATACTAGTTGGCAACCCGTGGAATTTGGATCCCACTTTCAGTGAGAATAGGCGCCTTTTTTACAAGTGGACCTTGGCGAAGAATAGCAGTGACCAGAAAGTAAGGGACGCTGGACACCTATACTGTGCGCCTTCTCCGGTGGGGCTTGTTCCTTTGGAAAAGCCGCCAGAAGTTCCACGGGAGGAGGCAGTTCCTCCTCCACGCTTCGGGAGCGCACCCAAGAAGTTGTACTCTTAGCAGACACTACTTTTACGAAGATCCTTAAGCGATTAGATGATATCTGCGGTATGTATCTATAATACATACTATGTATAAAAAGTCTTTGAAGAAGCCTGACGCCTGTAGTTGCTCTATTGTCTATTTCTAGAGAGAAGGCGTTATGGATACAGAGGAGATGTGCATCTGCGAAGACTACGTGGATATATTTCAAAAGTAATGGTAATCTCTCTAATGCAACTCCTTTCGGTTCTGATGTTGCGGTGGGTCGTCGGGAGACTATCTACCAGGGAATTTTAGGAGAAAAGCAAAAGAGCCAGTTGAAGATATGGGTACGAACATATGTGATTACGATCAACAAGATATTGAGGATTAGACTTATGTAACGAAAAGTTGAAGCACTGCTTTAATCTGATCGAACCAGAACAAGCTGCTCTATTAGAATTATTCTTATTGCATAGACTTGCAGCTACATCGAAAGAACTGAAAATATTGACAAGTACATCAACCATGAACAGGTAAAAAATTCGAAAATTCGCGAAGATGTTTACGTGAACTGAAGAAGGGTTGATGATGTGGAATTAGCATTTTTATGGAACGACGCACGTGTTTTTGCAACCCCTATGCCCACGTAGTCCTAGTTCGAGTCGTAAGCTCTAACCCCTAGTACTTTTTAGTTTGACTACGATGCGCTTATCACACGTCAAAAATATGGGATTCGAGATCTTATTTTTTCCTTCTCATCACTCAACTCATCCAAATTACTTATCCCTTTTCTCCCTAAGGGTCTCAGCTTATCAACAATACTAGAATCTTCAACGTCCTCCATGCATACTTATTCTAACCGCAGCTGACGAGTAAAAAAGGATATAGAAAGAAGCAGCACGTTCGAAGAATAGTAGAGTCGATGTGCTGCTGGTGGGGATGATGTCGTCGTGATGGAAGAAACTATAAAAACTGATGTCAGAAAAAACACCAATCTATCACGATAAAAGTAACACAGACCAAAAATATTGAAAGTAAAAGTATTACAACATTAACATTTTTAATGGATTTTTTTGTACAAAAGTAACAAGTTGTTTGTAAAGAATGAGAAAACATTAAAAGATTTTATATATAAGTATTTTTTTAGAGAAGTCAGTGTTTTTTTAAACCTAACCTAGCCAAGTCAGTCAGAAAAAGTATCACAAATGTTATGTCCATGTTTCTGGTGATTTTGTCACACTGACTTAGACGGCAGGTCTGCTGTCGACAGGTTTGCGTTGACAGGCCACGAAGTTGTAGAGGGCTGAAGAAAGAGATGAAATATTGGATGATCTCATGTCTGTGCCGAAAACATTTTTAGAGGTAGCTAGTGTTGAAGTACAGCTAATGCTTCGTTTTGTGAAGTTCTTGGCAGCTTGGAGCTTAGTATCACAGAAATACTGTCAGACCACGTCTCTACGGTCACCATGAACGGCGATAACAGGGACAACAGCATGCGTCCCCGGAAGATGCCAACATTTGATATGGTCATTGCTACGATGGCTTCTCCTAGCAGGTGGAGGTGCGCTGCAGGAGCAAATGGGCATATCCATGATGTAACGGGTAGGGGATTTATTTGAAATGTTGAGAGAACATGTGCATCCAAGAGAGAGAAGTCGCAACCAAGGACAAAGGAGAGTCAAAAAGTGGCACCAAGAGAGAGAGAAGGAAAAGGGCTTGTTGCGCATTTAAAAATCATGCCTGAAGCTCCCTAAGATGTGCATCTCCTTGTTTCCCTGAGATTCACAAAAATGCATATAAAGCATTGTTCTCCAAGTAGTGGCCCTCCTGTGTCTTGTTTTTTTCTCGCTTTTTCTCACGGAGAAAATGATTGATCTGCGTTTTGTTTTGTTTTGTTTTTTGATCTTACTTCATTCTAGCTACCACTAAGTAATGATAAGATGGACCGTGGAAGACCAAAGGCCAGATTGTCTTTTTCAAAAAAGTAACATCTTTCAGAGCCTAGAACTCAGAACAAGTTGTGCCAAGAAGGCAGCGAAGAGCATACGAGTATAGCAAGCTATACAAGGAGAAGCTTCATTTTTGTTTTAATCTTTTTCATGTTGTTTCCTAAGGGTGGCGTTGAGTTTTATTGTCCTACAATGGTTGGAGATGAGAGGAGGCTTAAAGGTAAATTAGCTAGTTAAAATAGTGCATCTCTAATACGCGTATTAGGGCTACGTCTGCCCATGAGGTCCTTCTTCCTAGAAGGGAGGAAGGTGCTCACAGTAAGTTCTCCCAGGGATCTCATCCTTCTCATGGGTGCCAGCTCACAAGGATAGAGGATTGAACTTACTTGTAGCCAAGAATAAGATAGCCTTAAGAGTGTCCCAACTAGAATAGTTCAATAGCTACCACTAAGTAATGAATACTACTAAGTACGTGCTTTGACCCCTTTAAGTTCTGGCACTTTGCTTACCAGCACGCTTACCCAGATATTGTGCCGAAACAAGTGATATGACTGTGATACTTCTTAATCAAATTTCGCATCGTTCAAACTTGTTAAATCTAGGAAACAAACAGAGCGGGTCCACAACATGTTCATCAATCTAGTACTACAGATGAGTCCTCGACTTCTGACAGGAGCGCTCGCACATCATAAAGGATTTTTGTTGGAAATGTGACGAGATCAAATATGACGCGATCTACTTGTTGGTGAAGATCTGACTTCAAGAAGTTAGACAACATGGTGGATGCAGCTATCAAGATGGAGGCCACCGAGGTCACGCAACTTGAGTTGCCGGAGGGTGAGCACGAGAACCAACCTGCGAAGGCCAGCGTGATAATTGGTCACAGCGCGGCTACTAGTTCGAGCAATCCCCACTGGGACGCTCTTCCTAGTACGAGCCCAGGCACTGCTGGGGCAGTTATGTCTGTCACTTCTGTAGTGGGTTGGACTGGAGTTCAGAAGCTATCTCCGTTTCATTTTTCAACTTCTTTGATAGTGTTGCTTCAACTGTTGGCTACATAGCCCTTGCTGTGGAAGTGCTGGAGACTCAGCAGACTCAGTCATCTTGCTTGATAGATTCATGTTCTCAGAAAGTCATAGATCCCTCACTTACCACGTCGCCCCTCTCGACTCGGGACGAGTCTCAACGCAGCGACAAAGGTGGCACTATACTGCTCGTCTTGTATGCCGAACTGTCTCTGAATGACGGGCACTAGAAACCAATGAACAGCTTCAGTCTTCTCTAACAAACGCCCTCGCCAGTCTCTACGATTAGCCAGCGGCGGCTCAAGACGAACGGTCCCCGGCAAGACCAAGAGTGGACGAGCAAAAGGGCGACGAAGAGAGAGCAGTTTATGGCGGGCAGCGAAGGCCGGGTCAGCTATCTTGTATCTCGACGCTGCTCACGCGTTGCATCGCGATAAGAAGCGGGAAAGACGTTCAGAAACTTTGGCGCAAGTTTTTGACTCCAAAGCGAAAACAACGACGCCAGCAGAGCAGGAGCCATTCGGGTCGGCCGCTGAACTGAATCGAAAAACGGCCACATACGGCTCCTCTGGTTCTGCTAGTAGCAACCATGACAGTAGTGCCAACGTGGTAGAATCCACGGCGGCATCCGCTTCCGCAGAGCACAGTGGCCATGATGATACGCAAAAGCAAGGTAGTCACTAATAGCTTTCTACTAGCCCTCATTGTTCAACTTCTATCCTGGACTCGATGCAAAGAGATACATTACTTAGGAACGAAGAAGTATCGCCTATAGATGGCGCCAGCCGGAAGCTTTTCAAGATATCTTACCAGCGGTGACAAGTTAGTACTAAACTTCAGCATCACACTACAATCACTATCTTTCAACCCAAAAGAACCTCAAAAATATTTATAAGGTAAAGCCACAGACGCGGCCGAGGTTAGTCATGGCGCAGGGGATAGCGGGCAAGGGGTATCAAAGTCAGCTTTAGACGCCGACACGCGGGACCTTCGATCCCCTGATCATAACGAGGCTGGTGTCAAAGATAAAGCCATCAAAGCGCCATCCGCTGGAGACGACGCAGGCAAGACAAATGGGAACGCTCGTACTTTTCCTATTGTGAGATGGATCAGATGATTGCCCGGACAATACTTTCTTCCTAATTTTTCCTGTGCGTCTCCATTTGACTTTTTCTACGTCAATCCGACCTACTTGTCAACACAGTACGAATACAAAACGCCGTCCTTGCTCCGTCACATCCTCCTAACAGACACCCTCGCAACATCTCCCCAGGTAGTAAAAGAGCCGCCCACAGCGTGGCGAGCACACGATCAGAAGCTGAGGTCGCTAGCCATACCGCAGAAGGGTCCAAAACTGGGGCGCCTGCAGGTGGCAAAGGAAACTCCAGAAGTGAAGAGAAGGGAGAAAAAGCCCTGAAGGCAGTGAAAAAAAGTGGGTCGCTGGGTATTTCTACTTCTATCCTTTTCCTAGTGATGATGTGCCTTTTACTCTGTGAGTGTTGGATTTGTAAGTCTATTAATCATCAAAATGAAGATTCTCACTTGTCAATCTACAACAACAGGCAGCACGGATCACGTCCTCCTATCGCAGAATACTAGGGGAAGCGGAGCCTCTACTGTCCGACTTGATGAGGCTGCTGACCTAGAGATAAACGCTGACAGCCATGTTGCAGATGAGGTTATCGCAAGCCATGTCGAGACGGGCTCGGACAGTGATGACTCAAGATGGCACGGGATTTTATGGCCTCGATTTCGTGAGTTTGAAGCTGAAGAATACGCACCGAAAGTATGAGACTTTTGGACCTATTCCGACATGAGTTTTGGATCTTGGGAGTCTTGTTCCTGTTAGTGCTCGGTAGTAGTAATATGACTGCGCAACCAACTTCGTTTCAGGCACGAAAAAGCCCGAGACTCGTGCTGTTTGTACCAGTACAGGCGATTTTCTTAGCCTTATGCATCGCCTGTTAGTAGTGACGCAGCCGCCGCTCCACTTCTAACATTCGCGACAACCAGAGTCACAACGACGACGCCCAGGAACCAAATGCTGCGAAAAGCAGAGCTTGGCACCTTGTTCAGCGATACCTCAGAAGAGACCACAGGCGAGGCGCCTGCAGCTGGCAACGAATATCCAAAGAGTCAAAAAAAAGGAGAAAAGGCCCAGAAGCCAGTCAAGGCAAGTGGGTCGCTGGGTACTTCTACTTACATCCTTTTCCGATTGGAGATGTGCCTGTTCGTTTTACTATGTAAGTAACCCCAATCGTTGGATTTGCGAGTCTATCAGTCATGAGCATGAGGGTTCTCACTTGTCAATCTACAACAACAGGCGCGGGCCGCGTGCTGCTATCACAGGATACTGGTGAAAGCGGAGCCTCCACTGTTCGACTTGATGAGGCTGCTAGCTTAGAGTCAAGCGCTAACAGTCCTCCGGAAAAACACACGGGAAATTCCGGCGGAAGTGTTGCAGACGAGGTTACGGCAAGCCTCGCTGAAACGGACAGTGAGGGCCCAACATCATGGGACGGGATTTTATGGACTCGATTTTTTTACTAAAGAAACTTCAACTAGAGCCATGTAGCTAACTATGTAAATTCACGCTCACCTGAAGAAAGAAAAAAGAACTTAAGACTAAGAGACCTTTGCATTCGTTTCGATTGCTTTCCTTTGGTCTAGTGCTTCTTGTCGGTCGTCCATAACTAGTAGAGACTTATAGACTAGATGTTTCAGCAACAGCAGGTAGAAGAGGGTAAGGTGAAGCAAGGTAGCTGGTGATGTATTTTCGATATAGCGTGCAATTGACGGTGCGGCCGAATGCGTTTCAGGCAGGCAGTGGTCTGCTACTCTTGTTGTGCGTCTACATGCACTTTTTGCCTTTTTTCTGATCCAGCCGTCGCTCCACCTCTAACATTCGCAACGACCACAGTCACGACGACGAGTCTCAGATACCAAATGCTGCGAAAAGTAGAGCCTGGCACTTCTTTCACCGAACGGGCACCGGTGTCAGCGGCCGCGAGTTGGACGGACCTCGCGCGTGGCCTTTTCCATAAAGGTGCAAGCCTCTTCTGGTGGAGTTCCCCTTCCACGGATGCTTCGAAGGAGACCGAAAATGGCCTCGCAGTCACAGACGTATGGCCGGATTATATATAAGTACTTGATTGAAAGTAGAAGACAGCAAAAATTCTAGGTAATGGATTGAAGTGCTCCTTGAGTCCGAGTGTGGTCGCCACGAGGAAGAAGGCGCTCCTTCAGTTAATGTATCATTTATGCATCCTCCCCGTTCTCATTCTTGTAGATATTCGAACTTGATAAGTAGCCTCTCTCTAACGGCAATGCTGTCGCGGGAGCGAAATTCGCCAGACTCTTCTCTCTTGCAGACGCATATCAGTGACTTTTTCACGAACACTCAAGTTGCAGCTGCTCTCTCGGAAGCGCAGTGCAAGCCACGTGAAGGCAGCGGCCAAACGCTCACGCCTTTACTGGAGGAGCCGGGAGGGACCTCGGGTCTCTCGGAGTCGCAGCCGCAGGTACAACTCTTCTGCGATTGCGCGTCTAGCCCCGAGAAACTGCAGTTTCCGACTCCGTCTTCAAGTGCCCCGCAGCTCGGAACGGTGACTCGTTTTGTGCAATGGAGAAAGCCATCGTCGTCTTCTGCTCCTGAACCTGGTGTTTGTCAAGTTGTCGCCACGTCGCATCTTACCTCGGAACAAACTGGTGGTGCGCAAAACGCCGGTGCATTCTTGGTGCGAACACAGCAGATTGTTGCATCTGATGGCCAGGACACCACAGGCGCTACACCTGTTATAGCCTCGCAGCGTTCCCTGTTTTGCAAGAAGATGAAGATGCCGAGGGACGAGGGAGAGGATAGGAGTAAGACTCATAGGCAATCGTTAAACTCGAGCGAATGCGCGGCCGCGACATACTTCGTGGACATGTGGACGAAGAACGGCAACGAGCGCGAGAAGCTCAAATACAACAACATCGACGTCGCGAGCCCGTTCTGCACAGACTTGGCGTTAAAGGGTGAGAAAATAGTGATCGAGAGCAGTGGGTCGGACGTGCAGGAACAGAAGGTGCTTTGCGCGGAAGCCATGGATGTCGTAACGCAGCACAACCTCCTAGAAGACGGATTGCCTCTGCCGACGGATGCAGACAGTCCTGGCGAGGGACCACTGGGCGCGCTGTGGTGGACTTGGGAGAGCATTCGTGTGCTGCTGAGCGCTGAGTTCTTTCACCGAGACATCAGACCCGAGAACTTCCTTAAACATCGCTCTTCGACCTCAGCTTCCGACCCCTTCTGGATAGCCACCGACATGGGCTTCGTGTGCAGCTATGGCAGGCGTCCCCCGGCGGGCGTGTTGGAGTGTAGTCGTAGTGGGATGGCTGGAACGGAAGGCTATACATCGCCCGATCATTTTCATTTTCTTCGCGGATCCTCACGGTCACGCCCACCCATTGGGGCTGATAATATGGCGAGAGGAGACTCTTTCAGCTGGGCGGGCACAGTCATTGACGCGCTTGCACCAGACCACTTCGGCGACAATATGCCAGGCCTTTTTACTTTGTTAGGGTTGCAGAGGGAGAATTTCGCTGACATAGATTATGTTCCTCCACGTGCACACTCACAGATTGCTACTGCTCCTAGTCCTAGAAGGGGAACTTGTTCAGGCCGTCAAAGGTAGATGCAGCAAATTCTGAGGGGACACATGAATACTTAATCAAGAAACGCATTTTTACGAAATTACCTCGAATAAAGCGAGTACCGAAAAGCTGGGGAGATACTGGTGAAAGCGATGAAGGCCTGCCCAGACTCGGTTTTGCTTATGACGCAAGGACTTCTATTTCTGCACTGGTTTCGATGTCGTTTATCATGATTCGTGTCTTAAGTCTAATCGTCTCAAACTCAAACATGAGCTCAGTTGCCCACAACCCACAGACATGCTCCCTCTCTTTCATATCGCTGAACATGGCGAAAGAAGTCCAAGCCGTGGAGACGCGATGGATAATATTTAAATGGTTGAAGTACTTTCCACCGGCAGACGCGGTGGAAATCACGAAAGCGGGAGAGTTGCTGAAAAAGTTATGTTTGTACATAACATATTCGTTTTTATTTGCTTGTCTTGAAAATATAGCACTACCCCCGTCCCTTCAGTTTCATCACGTTGCTTGGCTACAACTCGTTGAAGCTTGACAAGGCTACTCCGCACTAAGAATTTCTCTTCTATCTGATTACCGATCATGGTTGAGACAATTGACATTTGGAATATATTTATAAATATTAAGCAAGTAAATTCCAGAATAGTTCTGAGTTAATGACTCTCACTCTTAAGTCTTCACTTTGATCGGCTATTGCAGTTGTTCAACAAGTAGTTTGTTGATCGTACGTTCGTAATTATAAATATAAATATTCATCTTAATATGTAATATATGTAGTCGTTCTCGTTGCATCTGGCTCGTCTGGCATCGATCTTGCCGACCTTTCATCTTGAGCACTCAGAGAAGCCATGGGCCTGAGCAATGAAGAGGGACAGAGTGAAGAAGCCAAACAACAAGAACTACAAGGTACTGCGAATTCTAGTTTAAAGAAGTTACTATCTTCCAAGCCATCCGATGAGGGTAAGACTTTTAAGTACATCTGCGTGTGTGATAAGGCGCCACACGACAAAGAGGTGGAATCATCGTCAGGCCCTTCGAAGATACACAATGGACAATGAATGCCCTTCGAAATAAGATAAATTTCCATTACTACTTGTGTGCACAATTTTTGTAGGATGTAAAAGCTTTTACTTTGTGCAGGAAGGAAACAGAAAGAGACTCCTTGATGTCACAGGATATGCAGCTATTACCTCCCAACACCGCTCCAGCTCGAGCGCGGCTCCAAGCGGTTGAAGCAACGAAGCTCAAGCCGTTGCCGCACGCAGGCACAAAGTCAGAGCCCATCTCAGCAATTAACCTCCTCGCGCAAATACTGGTTGGCAACCCATGGAATTTGGAACGCAACACGAGCGACGGAAGAAATGGCTATGGCCCGGACAAGTTCTACAACTGGCAGAAGGTTGACGAGAAGGACAGCATATATACAGTCGCTTGCGCCAAGATTTACCGGCAGTCGTCGTAGCAACTACAGCTTTTACGGAAATTCCTAAGCGCTTACATGATGGCAATGGCTACGCTTACGCCATTATAGTGATTCTTTTGAGCCTGATTCTGATGCATGCACCTTCGCCGTCTCTCTATAGAATGAAGATCTTTTGGGAATAGAATAGAAATTAAAAGTGCGGGTGGACATTTTGCACTCCTCTTCTATTCATTGGGCGTGACCGGTTGCGAGGATTTTCATTTTGCTTTTGACAAATTGTATTATATATGAGAAGAGTACTGCCAATCTTTCTAATACAACTCCTTCCAGTGCTGATGTTGCGGTGGGTCGTCGGGAGGCTCTCTACCCGGGAATTTTAGGAGAGAAGAGCCAGTTGAAGACATGGGTACGAATGTATGTGATTATGACCAAGTAGATGACGCTGAAGAGGATCAGTATGTGACTATGGCCAAGATGTCTATGCAATTGAGCCAGAACGTGCTACGATTATATGATTGATACTCATACTGGACAAGAGGATGTCCAGTCACTCGTAACTCCATTGAACGAAAATACTAGTAGAAGTAGTAGCACAACTGGCACGAAGGAGTAGGTGATGGCAAAAAGTTAGAATGTGAGAAGAATGGCTAGAGCTAAAAAATATGAGATGTGTTTGTGTTCGTAAAGAGAAAGCCGATATATCGGATGAAGCCGAAACGTTTCGGATTAATAGCAATGCGTGTACCTCGAATGCATTTTAAAGTCATTTTTCTTACCACGGCCCCCGACAAAGACAAGCAAAAAGATTATAAGATGATTTATTATTGGCACTTATGAGAAGACGATGACGAAGCAGGTCTAATACAGGAAAATGAAAAACAGAAGCTGTCAGAAATCGAAGAATAGCAATGAGGCTTTCGTGAAGATATGAAAAAATATGTATAAGACATCCGCAAAACTTGCTAGGAATTAAACTGATGATTAACGATGAAAACACAGGTAAACTTTGGAAGTAAAAAGAGAATCATTTAGAGAAGTCAGGCATAAGATAAAGATGCTCTTCTTGTTGGCTCCTAGTCTGTTTCGCGCTCAAAGTAAAAAAAGGCAAACGGTGATATATTCTTCTATCAGTCTCCCTCTGGGCGAATGAACCGTACAAACGTACGCATAGCCATAGTCTTTTTATCCTCATGTACAGAAGACGACCGATAAAGATATACATGACTCATATGCATACTTCGGTAAAGCATTACTTGACATCAGATTAAAAGTGACAATAAATAAACGTTAGTTTCAACTTCAAGATTGACCATTAACAGGCGTAGTGCGAAATTCTCTCATCCTTGCAATGAGGAAAAGTTTCAGATTCAGTTTCACAGAATTAAGCCAATAAAGCCACTAGGCCAGAGCCCGCATACGCTTACGCATGGGGCGCGTTTACTACGCTTCGTGTTTCTTCGTTGGCTTTGGGAGAATCCTTAGGCCCCTGCGTAACTTCAGACACTCCGAAAGTATAACTTTGTGCGGCTGCAGATGTACCGCCAGGAGTTGGAGGCACTGCTGCAAAATGGCTAGACCGAGACACCCTGCAAACTGCGAACCAGACGCATGAGAAAACTTCAAGAGTCCACCTCAGTAGCTGCTTGTGGTCGTGCAGGACGAGGCTTGTGAGCTGATTGCTTCTGTTGTAAAATTTTGAACTACTGCGACGCATCTGTCTCTGTGTGGCCGTGTCTGTGAATCTGACCTAAGTGACATTTTCAGGAGAGAGAGCGACATCTTTAGAGAGGCGCTTTGCGTAGTCATCCTCGAAATTCCTCCAATGCTAGCCTATCTTTTCCTATTTTCATTTTTCACCTGCTGCGTCCAAAGCTTGTTCTACCACCATTTTAACGATGTTGAAGAAAACAGGAAACCAAGTGGTGCTATCATCTTGTATGATGTATAGGAAAAAAAGACGAAAAAGTCTAGAAGCTAGAAAACATGTCGATCTAGAGGATTCGGCTCTAATTTTGTACATTTTTCTTTACGAAGGACAGACTGCATTTTTACCATAGTGTATCTGCGACAGAGATTTGTTTGATTCATAGCAAGAATCTCTACTTCTACGATCCTAGTCAGCATCATCTTTTTTTTTTTCGTTCAGAAGAAAGATGCCAAGTAAGAAGAAAACGCAACGAAAAACTTCATGTTGTCGGCGCAGGGATATTGTATGACTTCTGACAAGAGCGCTCGCACATCATAAAGGATTTTTGTTGGAAATGTTGTGATGGGATCAAATATGACGCGATCTACTTGTTGGTGAAGATCGCAACGAAAAGCTTCATACTCTCGGCACAAGCCAGGGACAGCGATATTATATGGCTTGTTTTTGACGCGAGTAGCCGCGTAGTCGTAGGGTAAACGCTTAGGCCTACAGTAAATGCGTACTCGTAGGAGCGGCTCCTTCTGCGTTCTGCTGACCGCACGCGCAGCTGCGTCGCGCTCAACAGGGCGTTTGTGCGTAACGCTTACGTCACGCATGCAGGTGCAGAGCGCTCCTTAATATGTCGCGCTTACGTCCGTCTTTCGGCATGACTTCTGCTTCGCACTTAGCTGGTGACTCTTTCGGCACGACTGCTTCGCGCTTACGTCGCGCATGCAGCAGGTTTGCGTCCGCCTCATCGCACACAGACGTCACGCTTAAAACGCCTTGACGTCGCGGCTACGTTGGTTCCTCGCGCCACCCTATAATAGAAGACTTATAGGCAGACCTAGCAAGGCAGCGGACACTCAGAAGCAGAGCCAGAACTTGTAGTCCTTACTTAGAAGTAGTACGTGGAGCGCTGAGGCTGACTGCATCTTAGCGTGTTGAGGTTGAGAGGACCAGACGAAGGGGATGGCCACATCCGTTTCTAAGCCCCTTCGGGTTTTATGGACGTTGTTATTCGGTTTCTAATTGTAGGTCTGGTATCTGTGTCTTCAAGATAATAAAAGTTCTAGATGCTCACGGGAACAAACTATCTTTGCCTCATTATAGATATAGCACTTTCCATTTATTAACACATCTTGGTAGAGTTAGAGTTTCTCTGAGCTTAATGCTTTTAGACTGTACCAGGTTACTTAGATTGTAGACTAGGAGATAAGTTTTAGAGCCCCGCGCAACCCTGCGGGCCGGATCCGTTCGGCCCTGAACTCACTACACAACGAAAAGATATTAGTAGCATAGCCCTCTTTTTCTGGTTTTCGTTTTTTCTAGTTAGGAGCACCTCCATGAAAACGGATATTAGTTGCACCATAGCCATACTAGCCTAGAACTAGATCTAGGGCCTTCAGCTCTGTTTAGATCCCACTCCTAGCGCTTCTTTGCCTATAGGTGCTTCAGCGACAGGCGTGCAAGGTTCGACGATAATCGTGGACATAGAAAAGATCCAGAGACGCTGCCTCGGTTTAACTCAGCCAAGCTTCATAAGCTACGGAAGAAAAGATGGGGCGAGTCTAATATTGAAGAATGTGAAAAACTTCGAGTGAAGCTTATAAAAACACCTATAATAAGCAAAAGCACTTGGACTACGATCGCAGCGCATCTCTACCCACTGAACCATCACACATAGGTAGTATATTCTAGACACCAACGATCTCGTCTGATCCTAAGGGTAAGGAGCGGCAACGCTCCTAATATTGAGCTAGTCCAAAAATTTGAAAATATCGACCGAAAAAATGCCTGTACTATTTCGGTCGTAATTTTCGAAGCCAATAAATTTGAGGGTCAAAGTCCCCTCTTTTGTTTTGGGCCGTGAACAAGTTTTGCACCTTGTACCCTCCCCAGCTTGTTCTGCTTGTTCTCAGAATCAAATGCAATTCTTCAAAATTACTTGCTCTCAGAATCAAACGAAACGCAAATCTTCAAAATTCAAATGGTAAAGTCTCTGGTAAAAGTCTCTGAGTCTTGATTTGCATTTTTTGAATACTTTCAAGCCCTACCTCTTTTCATCGCAGAGGTCTCCGAAAAATGAGGCCTCCTCTAATAAGAGGAGTGGGCACACTCAAAGACCAAAAAACTGTTTTCAGATCTGCGAATGCATCGGAGGCCGATTAAGATTTGGGCCTTCCCTGCATGGTCCTTCTTTGGCGCCAGGCTAGCTCTCATATTGCTGATCACATTGCCCGTCGCCTCGCCTCAGTCTGCGCTTCAGCCAAGCTATGGGGGGGAGTTCAGTTAGCTTCGGCTACTTCCTCATAGCTATGGCGGGCAGCTTGTCTTAAGCTGTCCTGAGGGTTTTCATATTAAAACTATTTTGAACCAAATGAGGGGGTTTTCCTCTCATTCATGTGCCCCTCAATCAAGAGCACTCTTGTTTGAATTTCACCTCACGACTGCGTGGATCATTTCTTCTTTGTGCTTGTACTTGTCGTTGCGGTGTCCTATGTGTATTCAGGCTCTCCTCGACTAATTTTAATATAATCTACTTCTACCTTTTGCAGGCTGGCGAGCATGGTTGTGTTCGCAAATTGGATGAGAGTGCTATGATCTAGGATATTCTCTTTTATTCTAGGCTGGATCGGTTTGGAGAATAAAGGTAGTATATTCTAGACACCAACGATCTCATCTGATCCTAAGGGTAAGGAGCGGCAACGCTCCTAATATTGAGCTAGTCCAAAAATTTTTTTTAAAACCCGCCCTGTATCCCACCCTTTGAGACAATATGAACTTCTTCTCTCGTGCTGCTCGACACCGAGCAGCGGAACAGGAGTTAATCCAGCCACCCGCGTCACCTCCACGAGCTGTTGCACAGCCCGAGGCACCGCAGGAGCCACATGCTCCACCACCGGCGCTCTTTCCGCCCCCTCTTCCGCCGAATATTACGGTCAAGGGAGCTGGCAAAGCTATTGGTCCACCACTGCATCCTCCACAGCCGACGCCTCCACTTGGCCAGTTTCCGCCTCCCCTGCAACAACCAGGAAAAGGGGCAATGGTGAAAGGGGTGCATCCGTGTGCACCCATGACGAAAAACACAAGTTCCCCGACTCTGGTCAAAGAAGCTGGCCACGCGCAAACAGGGAAGAACCTTGGGAAAGGAAGTTTGCACTTTGCCGCATCTTCTTCTTCTATGGTTGCTCAAGCGCCTACACCACCGACGGGAACATCATCCAGTACAAATAATGGCAGTAGTAGTAGTTCATCAAGTTCCAGCTCAAGCACGCTTCATGCCAGCTTATGCAACGCAGGTCCGACTATGGAGCTACTACCGGTCATTCATTCCGGTCCGATGCCGAGTCTCTTGCAGCAAAAAGGACAGCCGGGACAACGATCCTACGACAGGTCAAGAGACGGCGAAAACGCCAACAGGCCGAACAAAGGAGGGGCAAGACAGCCCACAAATTCAGCAGGCCAGCGGCGACCTGAAGCTTTACTATTATCATGGAGTGATACGGTTAAAAGCGTCGCAGCAGGCTTTTGCAGCAAACGGCCGCCAGACTCTCCCGAGGTTCATACGATAGAATCTGCTGAGCGAGTGGCTGAGTCAGCATGGGAGAGCTCTCTCCTATTTACAAAGAAGCGGCTCCACAGAAGCGCCGTGGCCTCGTATCGCAAACAGTATCAGAAGTATGCGGAACTTATGACTGCCGCCCGGCTCTCTCCGTGGCCGCGGAATATTACTGGCCTCTCGCTCCAGCTTTTTGCCACGGCTTTAGCACAGTGCGCTGACTTCCCGAAATCGCGGGCCACCTACTTCTCTCATTTCAAGTGCTATGCAGAGTGCGTTACGGCACTCTCGCGCGAAGCTGGCGCCCAGTACTCCAAAGCATTTCGCTTTCTTGTGGCAGAGCGGCCTTGTGCACATCAAGAAGAAGGCTTGCGACTTTCACACATGTTGCCGATCTTATCGGCGGCCAACACTCTAGGTGATAGGGCCGTAATCCACGGGGCGACGGGTGAAAAATGCAAGATGGATATCTATGTTGGTTTTCTGGTGGCGTGCTGGTTTAATGCCATGCGCTCGGGGGAAAGCTTCTCGACGACGAGAGACATTGCGGATGGCGGCTCCTTCGTGCGCATGGTCATCAAAGTTTCGAAAACTGACAACTACGCGCGCGGACACATCTCAGACTTTTGCTGCTGTTGCCATTGGGCAACATATATATCAATGGACGTTAACAGGGCCCGCCTCTGCCCGGTCCATTGTTGCACCGACTCCCACTGGAACACCGTTCGCCACTGGAGTGCCCGAGGTCACGCCATCGCCCTTGGCGAAGTTTTACGATTGGCAAGCATCCCGAACCCAAAAAATGAAGACACTGGGCGGAAATGCTTCGGCACTCATTCGATACGCATTGGCGCTGCAAGGGCCGCATATGAGGGCGGCACGAGCAAGGCCGACGTCATCAAACTTGGTCGTTGGGGTGCCGATGACAGTGCCGAAAATTACTTGGCATCTTCGGTTCTATTGGCAGATAGCGTCGCGATGCCTTGGCCACTTCGGAAGCCCACGGCCATCTTCGCGAGGCCAACGGCAATAGATTCATACGCACAGGCCGCCCAGGTTGGTTCGCCACTAGAGGATTGGGTCAGCGATCTTTTGGCAAGCCCTTGATAGCCCTGTCTTCCCTTAAAAAGCTGGGGGAGGAAGTCCTTGTGCTCCTCCCGGGGCATCGCCGCTTATTCTTCTGTTTTATTTCGTGGACGTCATCTGTTTGGCCACCCTTGCATCGGCTGAGATCTAAAAATTAGGATTTGCTTGTGCATCAATAGCAGCACACCTGGCCTGCAGACCTCGCTTCTCTTTTGTCGCGCACTGCGCTGGTGGTCTCTGACCAATGTTGAGATCAAGCTTCGCCTGTTCAGATCTTCACTCTGAGCGAGTCGCGAGATCAAAAGTGAGCCCCCAAAATTGAGCACCCCACGAGGGAGAGCCACGGCGAGAAGTCGAGAGATCCTCCCAAAAAATTGGACCCGCTGATCGGCCTCCGCCTCCTTTCCATCCCTCCTCCCCTCCCCAACCTCCTTTACCCCTTCCCCCCCTGCTCGTGTACTAACATTAATTAAACATACTATTTACAGGGAATAAAAAAAAAGGGAGTCAACTTCTTAAGCTCATCCACAAAACAAATCAAAATGGCTGCTTTCGTCAATCTTCTTCAAGTCGCTCAGGACGAGCAAGGATTGGGCGTTCCGACTGCCAATCAGCTCACCCTCCTGAGTCAACGCATGGCGGGCGTTGACGAGAAATGCAGCGCGAAGCAGCATCTATTCGCGCTGCGGAAGTTCGAGTCGCAGCAAATCGGGGAGGTCTGCGGCTCGTCAACATCTTTGAAGTTTACGCCTTTTTCGGTTATCGCTGCTCTGCGCTCGGTCAACGTTTTGGGCGTGGCCGCGACGAATCGCTTGCAGAAGATTTTGAAAGATGCCCTTTTGGGATCCTTGGTGGAGTCGGCCAATGACACGGCCCTCGACAAGAAGACTCCGCACAAGCTGTTCTTCGAAAACCTGGCGAATTGTTTGAAGTCTGGCAGCTTGCCGGTCGTGGCCGATGGTGGAAACGTGTACCAGCGCCAGGCCCACTTGGCCATCGCGACCGATTTCGTCGCTGAATTCCAAGCTAGCACTCGCGCCGAAAAGCGCTTGATTGCTGTGCTGTCTACGTTTGACTTTCCGACAAGACTGCAGGAAGAGTCGGGCAACCCGATCCAGCCCAACCCGATTAAGAAGCGCAAGCTTGATGTGAAGAACACCGAGAAGACGAAGGCGCGCGTGTGCCTGGACTGGTTGCAGGGTAAGTGCTCATCTCCGTGCAAAAAGAAGCTGGCACACAAAGGCGACGCGCAGAAGCTCCTTTTCCTCAGCAGCCGCTTCTTGAAAGGAGCGGCGAAGACAGCTGACATCATGGCATTGGCTGCTGAGGAATAGCTCATTCTGTGAGCTATAGCGCGTGAGGTTCAGTGCCACTTGTCGGAGGCAAGGGCACACCTTACCTAGCGGGTGAGGCATGGCAGGGTGGCGATAGCATTGATCAGTACTGTCGCCTATGGTGATCGTTGCCCTAGCCTAGTATATGTGGCCCTTTCTTCCAACCTGTGTAGCTGCCTTCTTTTACATGGCGTTCAACCGAGGTCAATCAATGGCGCTTGTGCCAGCCTCTCACCTCGCTATGTTCTTTAGGCTCTGCCTTCTGTGAGTTGAGCGATTTTGTTCACACATTTCTGCTACGAGCGATCTACATTATTTTTATTTCTGTGCAGGGCCCTCTTTAGCTTCACTTCTGCTTTGCGCTTCTGTGCAGTGTGTGTTTCTGTGACGAGTGTTTCCAATACCAAGCTCTGTCCCTATTACGCCGCTGGTTGCCTCTCGGTCCCTGTTCACATCAATTTATCATCTATTTTGTCGACAGGTAGCGCATTCGCATACTTTGCGTTCCCTGTTTTTTCCTCCTCTCTAACGTAATTATTTTCGTTTCAGTGAGGACGAGTACACTTACCACCATTCTCATCTTCCGTTCTTGTTTAAGTTTTTCTTTTGTTTTATAACTTCTTGCATCAGCTACCAATTCATAATACCCATTATCTCTCTTGAAAGTTCGCTCGTGAAGAAAGCGGCGGGTTTTGTGCCCGCGAAACACCACGACGAGATGACGGACCATGACGATGCCGACTTTGCGGCGGTGCTGGAAACGGATCGCGAAAGGCGCGCTTACGGCTGTACCTCGGCCGTTCCCGCATACTTCGATATCCCGGCCAACTTTGTTAAGTCGGCCTCTGTCGGAGAGATCATTTACAAAAGCCAGAACGTCGGCCAGATGCTGGCGCGCATCCATCACTCTCTTCGCCATCGTGAGAAGCTGCTTCGCGAGGCACTGAAGCCGCGCATCGCTTTAGTTTACAAGAATAAAAACATCTTGTTTCTCGAGACGATCTTAGAGCGGGCGGCGTCCGCCCATCCGTCTTTAGCCGCTAGGCGCTCTGAGATTATGAGTATAATCGATAAGATGATCCATGGGATCCGCCAGGATCAGGAGATTAGGCCGTCAGGCTTCTGGGGTCCGGTCTGCGCGGACGAGGTGGCAAAGCGACGGAAGCGCGCCATCGAGTCTACTCAAAAAATTGAAGCTGCGGCAACCACGCCTGTACGGGACCACTGGGCCGAGGCGCCCCAAGTCGAGGAAATGTGGCGCCAGATGTCTGATCTCATCGAGTCGGGAAGATGGACGAAAGTCCCTGATGACGCGCCGCTCCCTCTAGGTGGTTCGAAGGCTTGTCCAGTGGTCCAAGGGGGGAAGACTCGTGTCTGCGTGGACTTTCGCTTCCAAAGCACCTTTATGGTGGCCCTTGAGCGAATGGAGCTGCTTGGTGCCCGTGCCACGACGCAAATTTCCGCAAGACTGATGTCCACGAAGCCGCGGCCTTTGGGTTTTTGGCAATTCAAACAAGACATCGCTGCAGATATCGACCACGAGAAGTTTTTGCGGGATTCTGTGAGCACCCACGTCGCCACTTCCCGGGAAACGGGTCCGGACCTGGTGCCAGACGGATCCAACGAGGACACTCATGACAATCCGTCTGCCTTTCGCCCCCTGTCGGCCAAGAAAGATCTTAGGCAATTCTACTACCAATTACAATTAGCTACAGCCGAGCCCAACATGGGTGCGGTATTCTTCCCAATGCCTTGGTCTGTGGAAGACTCTGAAAAAAGGGGCACAGCCGGACAAATGCCGCCCTCGGCGCCGAACCCGGAAACGATCCCAACACTTAAGCGACCTAGACGGGGCCGGAAATGGGTCATCATCTTCTCCTTGGTGCAGCTCTTTGGCAGCCTCGCCAGTGTACATGACTGTGCTCATGTTTCAGAATGCATAATGTGCATCCTGAGCCTGGTCTTGCTGCTGGTCTCCACAGTTTATATGGATGATGTCCATCTACAGTCCCGCCCTAGGGCCCTACTTTCGGACTCGGCCCTGGCCGACCTCTTCCTGGCCCTGTCAGGCTGGGAGCAAGCTGACTCAAAACAAGAATTTCACGACGAGCTCATCAAGCGTTCGCTCACCGTTTTGGGCATCTCGTATGAGTTGGTCAACGAGCTTTATCTCGCGTGTGGCGTTGACGCCTCGAAACTTAGGCAGCTTGCAGATATGGGCGAAGCTGCTGCCAACAACCTCGGGGCACACTGCCTTGACATTGATGCCCTCGAAAGTTTCCGGGGGCTATACAGACACTGCGTTCAGCTCGACCGCGGAAACATGTTTCTTGCGAAAGGCATTGACCCCTGGCGTTCTCAAGCGTTCTTCCAGTCCAACATACGCAAGGAGAAAGAACGTCGCGCGCTCCTCGGGCTCATCCGTATCATGATCTTTGTCGCGCGGTCCACTAAGCCGCTTATTCTGGGGTCCAAAGCACTCGCAGCTCCGCTGGTCCACTTGTATACGGACGCTGCGCTGGTTAACCAAACAGCGCTTCGCGATGCAGTTGCGTCCGGAAGGCGATCAAGCTTAGACGTTTTCGAACTCAACATTGGCGGCTTCCTATTCCTCTCCGACACCATCCAAATTGCCTTTTCGGGTGTCGTCTGATCCGTCCCTACTTGGGTCTCCAAGTTGGATATCGGTGTCCTCGAAACATTTGCCGCCCGTGTTGCACAGGACTTCTTCTGCGACCATCTGCGTGAAAAGAGAGTGGTGCTACACTGCGACAACATTGGCGCCGTTTACGCGCTGGGAAGATGCTCATCCAGGTGTGCAACAACTCAACGCATAGCTGCCTCGTTTACGAAGTTCTCTGTGCATCATGGACTTTCCTTTTACGTGGCGGCTTGGGTCAGCACAAAGCGCAACGTTGCTGATGTGATGACGCGCCTCGAACGCCTTCAGCTACTTCGAGATTACTTCCCGCGGGCGCGTCACATTGTGATTGGATCCGACACCCTCCGCTCCGACGCTCTGTGGGGAGATGTTGGCGATCTTGAAAAGTTCCTCATGGAGGGACCTAGCCGCGTCTTCTCATTCCGATGAGAAAACGATGGCGAAGTGCCGGGGTGCATCCTTATGCATCCTTACGACAAGCGTGGCAGCTTGTCTTAAGCTGTCCTGAGGGTTTTCATATTAAAACTATTTTGAACCAAATGAGGGGGCTTTCCTCTCATTCGTGTGCCCCTCAATCCAGAGCACTCTTGTTTGAATTTCACCTCACGACTGCGTGGATCATTTCTTCTTTGTGCTTGTACTTGTCGTTGCGGTGTCCTATGTGTATTCAGGC